AATAACGACTTTATTCAACAATTCGTCTCCTCCACGTCACCCTGGTGCCATTTTGGAGAGTATCCACTGAATGTAAACAGCGTATGCTGTTCTGTGTCAGCTGTGTCACGCGATACATTGTTTTCGTTCAGATCAAAGCATAAATGACGTAGAAAACATATGGTGCAGCTGACACAGAACAGCATACGCTGTTTACGTTCAGCGGATACTCTCCAAAATGGCGCTAAATCTAATTAGAGGTATTTAATTTTTAGAATCTGATTACGTAATCCAGATTACATGTAATCAGTTACTACCCAGCACTGCATAGTAGTACCCTAAAGGTATGTATTAATACTTTTAAAAGTACATATTAGAGGGTGATGCGGAGGAGACGAATTGTTAAATAAAGTTGTTATTTTTGTTTTCTTTGCGTACAAAAAGTATTCTTGTAACTTTTTTAAATTACGGTTGAACCCCTGATGTCACATTGATTATTTTACCGATCTCCTTGCTACATTTCTGGACCTTGATCGTGGTAATTACACTGTTGTCTATGGGAGGGTCAGAGAGCTCTCAGAATGCATCAAAATTATCTTAATTTGTGTTCTGAAGATGAACAGAGGTCGTACAGGTTTAGAACAACATGAGGGTGAGTAATTTATGAGATTAGAGTAGAATTTTCATTTTTGGGTGAACTATGTTTTATTTTCAACGTTCTACGGATACATTCAAACGTTCAAATGGATACATTTGGCCCATCTAGTGGAGCTTTCTTTTTAATCACTCAAATCACTTGTGTTGCTGTCCACACACAAGTCGGACAGACTGTGAATGTCACAGACAGTGGAGTTGGAGAAAATGCGGACAAGAGAAGCATACTTTTGGCTTTAGGTAGGCTGGACCCGTGTTTGGGTGAGGGTAACCTGAGGGCGAGCGCTCAGATGCTCTTGTTTTTACAGTGTGGCCTCCATGAGCTTTGAGACCTCCGTAAAGCAGCTGCTTCAAAGTGCGACCAACTGCCATTTACCACTGCGTTTTCCTCTGCTCCTCGGACAAGATTACTTTCCAAACAGAGTGCAGACAGCTTGATTAATAAAGGGGTCCACCGAGGTGCCCGCCACAGTATATATTCACACTTACTTGCGCTCATTTCATTCGCATGGACTTTTATGAGCTGAACCTTTCACCACAGGAGTCCATCGGTTCATAAAAAAAGCACAGCTCTTTGAGACGATGTCTGGGAAAACTCATTTAAAGATTCTAGATGGTATGTTTAAGAGTTGATGGACAAGGTCACTTCTAAACTAACTTCTGTGTATGTGTATGGGCATCCTCGTGTGATGCAACATTCATTAAAAGATTTATGTAAATATAGAATGTCTTACTGAGGATTCTGGCTAAGGCTTCTGCATATATATTTGTGACTAAAGCTGTGATGGTCATGCTGTATATGGTCTTGATATATCTTCAGCTCAGTTTATTGGCTTTCTTGCTACTTTTATGTGTGTGTACAGTGAGAGATAGGACAGAAAATGATGGCAAAGATGGACGATATCAGGAAATGTTGCAAACTTGAGTTTGTCACTTGAGCAACATGGCTCAATGTCTCAGCACACGTAACTGGACCAAAGCTCAAACAGAGTAGATATGTTTCTAAACTGGAGACAGCAAGTCAGTCTACAGTCTAAAAAAAAAACAGCAAAAATATGCATTTTAGTGCAGGAGCCGATATTTACATATGGCCAAAGAAAGATGAAATTCTGATATCAAATTCATATAAATATAAGTTGTCACTCGATATCTCCCAAAAATGTCTTAGTCAAATGATATTTAAATGCTTAGTTTTATGATCAAAACTCTGTAGTTTCAAACATATAATGCAATGCCATACAGTAATGACTGACAGATGTACAAATAAACGTTCATTGTTCATCAAAAGCCTGATGTCTCATGTTTGATACTCATATTTTGACATGATATAAATAATAATAATAATAATAATAATGTATGGATAATCAAGTAAACCTAAGTTACTACTTCAGTCAAGTGTTTATCTTGAAATATTACTAACAATAAAAAGTTATTCTTATGTTTACTTCATAAAAATTACATTTCAAAACATTTCACAGCAAAAAAAAACAAAAACAAATGTACCACAACCTGAAGGTGGAGTATTTTGATCATGTTAATAATTTGTAGGCCTTAGAACTTTGTATTTCAAATATGATACAGTATCCTTAATAGGGTTAAAATTAATGGTACTTGGTTTGATATTTTCATATCTAATCCAATAACATTTTAGCATTTGGCTAAATTGTCCAAATATGTTTTGTGGCCACTGTACATGCATGTATGAAGCTTCCTTTACATGTGTGCGTAGGTCAGGCATCAAGAAGAGCTGATCGCAGAGCTGCAGAAAGAGCTGGAAAAGGCTGGATTTGACCAGAAGGAGAAAGAGCTTAAGGAATGGAAAGAGCGCTGGTACTCCATCTCAGAGAGCCTCCGGCACGCACACACAGCTCCAGCAGGCCCAGGACAGCCTGGAAATACAGCAGGAGAAGAACCACAGCCTGCAGGATGATGTGGATAAACTTCGTACTGCGGTGAGGACAGAGGACAAAACATTAGAATTAAAGGATAAAGGTCAAAGGTCAAAATTTGAGTCAATCGATTCACATATTTAACAGAAGCTATGTTAATATGCATGTGTGATTAGTCTAAACAGTTTGAAATCATACAATCAGAATGAAGCAGTTATCATTTTATATTAAATATATATAAATAGAAGAGTGTTTGTCACGGTTCTGCTGGTGTGCCCTAGTGGGCCACCAGATGTCACTGTGTGTTTTGAGCACATGGCTTGTTGTTTGTTGTTGGTGCCATGTGCTCTCCTGTCTATTGTCTGACCCCGCCCTTTTGTTATCTCGTTAGTGTTTTAGTTACTCCACCTGTGTCTCCCTCATACCCTCCTCATTTGTCTCCCTATTTATTCTCTTTGTGTCTGCAGTCCTGTGCTGGTTCGTTGTTTAATGTTATGTCTCAGAATATGTTATGTCTCTTGCCTTGCCCTGTCTTGGCCTGCCTGCCTGTTCTTCCTCCTCGGGGTAGTTTTTGTTGTAGTTTTGTTTATTTTTTACTATTAATAAATGCCCTTATCTTCCTGCATTTGAGTCCTCGCCTCATCTCTCCACATGGTCCGTGACAGAATGAACCTGCCACCTGAGGACTCAGCGGAAGATGGGCTCACTCCATCTACCAGCCTCCACTATCTGCTGGGGCTGGACTACAATGAGGCGGCTCTCAAGGACCTTCTGAATTATGCCCTTGATAAGCCCCTCAATTGGTGGAGGATGAAAGGGCTGGATCACCTGACGTTTGTGGGGTTCATAAACTACCTAGCTCGTCAGGGGAACCCTCCAGCCAAGGAGGCTGCAGCGCCCCCAATGGCGGCCGAGGAGGCTGCAGCTACCCCAGTGGCGGCTGATGAGGCTGCGGCTCCCCCAGTGGCGGCCGATGAGGCTGCAACGCTCCCAGCGGTGCCTGATGAGGCTGCAGCGCCTGCAGTGGCGGCTGACGAAGCTGTAGCGCCCCCAGAGGCAGCTGACGAAGCTGCAGTGCCCCCAGAGGTGGCTGACGAATCTGCAGCACCCCCAGAGGCAGCTGTTGATGCTGCAGTGCCCCGCTCTTAGAAACGGAGGAGGAAGAATGGGTCCACCTCGCCACCCCTAGAGGCGGCCGAAGAGGCTGCAGCACCTCCAGTGGCGGCCGATGAGGCTGCAGCACCTCCCAGAGGCGGCCGACGAAGCTGCAGCGGGGCGCTTCGGTGCTTCGGCCAGTGGTGGCCGAAGAGGCTGCAGTGCCCCCGGAGGCAGCCGATGAAGCTGCAGTGCCACACTCTCGGAAACGGAGGAGGAAGAAGACTTCTTCTGTCCTTCAAGGCCATCCCAGAGCCGCCCAAGCTTCTTGCCCTGCCGGCTCTACCCTTGATGCCGGCTCCCCCCATGTGTCTTGCCCTGCTGGCGCCGCCCAGACTCCTTGCCCTGCCGGCGCCTCCCAAGCTCCTTGCCCTGCCGGCACCTCCCAAGCTCCTTGCCCTGCCAGCGCCACCCAAGTTCCTTGCCCTGCCAGAGTCTGCTCCAGAGCCCGCTCCAGTCCAGGACCCCTTAGAGTCCAGTCCAGGAGCCCCCAGAGCCCACTCCAGTCCGGGAGCCCTCAGAGACCGCTCCAGTCCAAGAGCTCTCTGAGTTCACTCCAGAACCTGCTCCAGTCTAGGAACCTTCAGAATCCGCTCTGGAGCCTGCTCCAGCTCAGGAGCTCTCAGAATCCGCTCAAGAACCTGCTACAGTCCAGGAGCCTTCAGAACCCACTCCAGAGCCTGCTCCAGCCCAGGAGCTCTCAGAATCCGCTCAAGAACCTGTTCCAGTCCAGGAGCCTTCAGAGTCCACTCCAGAGCCTACTCCGGCCCGTGGATCTGCTCAGCCGTGGTGGTCAGGAGCTCTGCCTGTGCTGCCTTGGTGGTCTGCAGCACCACCGTGGTGGTCTTCAGCCTCACCTGCACCAATGTGGTGGTCTCCAGCTCCACCTGATCCACCATGGTGGCCCTCTCTCCCGTCTGCTTTGCTGTGGTGGTCATCTGCTCCACCATAGGGATCTTCAGTAATGCCTGCTCTGCTGTGGTGGACTTCATCTCCGCCCTGGAGGGCTTCAGCTCCACAGGTTCCGCCACACGGGCCTGGCCCACCATCCCTCCCCCGGATCCGCATCCGGTCCACCTCCCTCCTGGACCTTTTTGTTTTCTGCTTTATTTGTGGAGTGTCTGGAATCCACTCCTTAAAGGGGGGGTTCTGTCACGGTTCTGCTGGTGTGCCCTAGTTGGCCACCAGATGTCACTGTGTGTTTTGAGCACATGGCTTGTTGTTTGTTGTTGGTGCCATGTGTTCTCCTGTCTATTGTCTGACCCCGCCCATCTTGTTATCTCATTAGTGTTTTAGTTACTCCACCTGTGTCTCCCTCGTTACCCTCCTCGTTTGTCTCCCTATTTATTCTCCTTGTGTCTGCAGTCCTGTGCTGGTTCGTTGTTTAATGTTATGTCTCAGAATATTGTCAGATGTGTGTATGTTCCTCTTGCCTTGCCCTGTCTTGGCCTGCCTGCCTGTTCTTCCCCCTCGGGGTAGTATTTGTTGTAGTTTTGTTTATTTTTTACTATTAATAAATGCCTTTATCTTCCTGCATTTGAGTCCTCACCTCATCTCTCCACACGGTCCGTGACAGTTTTAAACATATTTAATTAATTGCATGCTTTAACCTGTTAAAATACTAGGAAAAATGTAAGAAGGAAAATGAAGAAGATGAGACAGGGAGGTTATAGATATAAAGACTAAAGGAAAAACTGGAAGGAGATAAATGAGGAAGAACGGGGTGCGTGCAGAGTATTGTTGGGTGTGAGTATGTTCCTCTTGCCTTGCCCTGTCTTGGCCTGCCTGCCTGTTCTTCCCCCTCGGGGTAGTATTTGTTGTAGTTTTGTTTATTTTTTACTATTAATAAATGCCTTTATCTTCCTGCATTTGAGTCCTCACCTCATCTCTCCACACGGTCCGTGACAGTTTTAAACATATTTAATTAATTGCATGCTTTAACCTGTTAAAATACTAGGAAAAATGTAAGAAGGAAAATGAAGAAGATGAGACAGGGAGGTTATAGATATAAAGACTAAAGGAAAAACTGGAAGGAGATAAATGAGGAAGAACGGGGTGCGTGTGGATGGCTAGAGGTCAATAGGTCTCCTGACTTTGACCCCGTGACCTCTCCTCATTCACACATCAGCACACTGGGGGCCAATTAAGCTGAGCTCCACACTAGTGTGCAATCAACAGTATAGGAGATGAGACCAGTACAGGAAATGAGCTTTTTGAGCTCCGCCCCTTCCCTCCACACACACTTTTACTCACAATAATACATTTAGTGTATATGAGCACAGGGTTTTTAATCATCAGTTTGCACCTACACAAAAGATCTTTGCACTTTAATAGAGGAAAGAAACGGAAGAAAAACAGTAAATTTTTGATTGCCAGTAAGTAAGAGATTTCATTCAATTTGCTAACAATTACAGGCTTATACTAAGCCTGATACTCCATTTAGTTTGTTTAGTTTGCATGTTAATATTAATGTTTTTTATATCATCATTATAATTAAAATTTCATAACTTGATTGTCCAGTGAAGCGACAGACTTGTCTCTTATGACGTATGCCAGACTTCTTCAATCATTTCATACACTTAAACCATGCCCCTTTCATCTAATTGACTGCAAGCTTGCATTCAGATCTGCTTCCATCCAATCAACAGCCAGTGGAGAGAACCAAGTCCCCACCCTGCATAATCCATTTCACTCAGATGTTTGTCACAATATGGAAAAGATTTGTTTCTTCTTCCATTACATGATGATTTAAGTGTTATACTATCAAATAATTCTGTCCATAATTTTACTGAGTAATATTTAAAAGTGCAATATGCAGTTTCTGCGCTACTAGCGGAATTACAAATCTAAAGAATATTTTCAAACAACCTTTGCCAATGCCCCTTACAATCACCACATCCTTAAGATTATTCTTATCCTTACAATAGCTTACTTTTTTATCTGGGGCTCGACGGTAAAGAGCTAACTGTGGAAAAACTTCTCAATGGAAACCCAAACATTCCATCGAATTCCTCCATCATGTAAAAACACTGCCAGTGTTTACCCTTGTTTTACCACGTTGTCTGTTTCAGCGTATTTTGAGAAGTTTTAGAATTTTGGCTTGCACTTCAATAACCATATCTGAATTTCTTTTCCCATGCAATGTGCTCAGCCTGCTACAGTAGCCATGCCCCAAACTCTTGCTATTGGTTGAGCTGAAAAGAGATTGACAGATCTGAGCGGACAGCTCTAAATGATTTGCTGGTGCCTGGGAGGCTCAATGTGTAGATTTTTGGAGGAAATAAACACACAAATTGCATACTTACAGTAGTCAATGACCAATAAACTGGGTTAAGACTATGTATTCTAACATAAAAAATAAATAAAGTAATAAATAAATAAAAACTAAATTCAAGATCAAGGTCACTTTTGTCCTTCACATGACCCTAAATACCAACCCTTAAAACTGGTCCAGCCCAAATTCTTACAAAATATTTCAAGGACCCCTGCTACTTCAATTTGTGTTGTGTTGTGTCTTCCTTTATGATTACTATAGGCAATTTGATTAGACTACTTTATATCCTACATCCACTTACAGAAATATGCTAGAATCATGTTTTATTTGAAGTTGGATCATTGTGTTTGGAATAAAGGGGGGAATGGTACTTTAGCAGATAATTATGTGTAATCCACAATCATTTCCAATAATAACAGACGAAGTGGTTTGAGCCCACGTTATCCAATTTGCCATTTAATGTGAGATAGGCTGCTGCTCGCTCCCTAAAAATTGAACCATTTCCTTAAATCGGCAATTTGCCCTGCTTCCGGGATGCATAGAGCACAGAAATGATGGAACTTCATATTCCAGTACTGTCTTTATATAGAAACAGAAGATGATTTTTGTTTGTTTTCCTTTCTTTGTTTTGATTGGATTGAACCCTGCTGTTTTTAACTGACGCCTGCTCAGGGTCTGTCAGATGGGTCAATGTGAGGACAAACTGCAAGATTTGAGCCAGGAAACTGGACCGCAAGGACATGAGCAGCAAACTACAGTTCTTCACACACACATTATTACACAGTAATATTGTTGTAATTATATAGTTGACATAAATATTTTTATCATTTCAAATAACTATTTTCTGTTTGAATGTATTGCAAAATGTAATTTATTCCTGTGATGCAAAGCTGGGTTACACTTTATTTTAAGGTGTCCTTGTTACAGTGTAATTATACATTTAAGTACTGAGTAATATTAATTAACTACACATACTTTCTATATGGTTAGGTTTTGGAGTTAGGGTTTACTTCCCTGTAATTATGCATAATTTATTGTTGTTATTATTATAGTACGTACATGTAACATGTAATAAGGACCCAAAGCTAAATTATCAGCATCATTACTCCAGTCTTCAGTTTCACATGATCCTTCAGAAATCATTCTAATATGCTGATTTGCTAATCAAGAAACATTTCTGATTATTATCCATTTTGAAAATAGTATTTTTTTTTCCTGCTTATTTTTCAAGAAACTATGATTTACTTTCATTTTCACCATTATTTGATGAATAGAAAGGTCAAAAGGTCTTTTGCAACAGTGTCTGTACTGTCACTTTTTGTCAATTCAGTGCATCCTGGCTGAATAAATTAAGATTGAATAAAATCTTTATTTTTAATAAAGAATGCGTGTGTATATACATACAGTATATATAAATATTTTAGGCGAAATTGAATTTATTTATTCTTTTCATGCATGTTCAGCGTTAAATGAATTATTTATATTTGTAATCAATATTTCAAATCGATATTATAGGCATCTCCCTAGGTTTTGATGCAGAGTTTATACCTTTTCACAAGGGTGTATGAATCTGAAAATTGTGGAGGGGCAACTAATCATCTTGGCTCATGAATATCAAATGCACAACAGTCATCCAGTCCCTGATTTTCTGTAAGGCAGACATTGTTTATTAGATGTTAACCATAGCTGTTTACCACTTTGCCATTGCTAAGGTTTGACAGCAGCTAACCGGTGTTAATAACCCCATGATCAGCTTGACAAGTGTTTTCTTTCCTAAGTTGAAACAAGAAGTTTAGGCCATTTTCAATGCGAGAAAGTACTTCGCAGTTTCTAAAATGTAATTGTTTTCACCACCGTGCTTTTTCGTGTTTTGCTTTTATCAGTTTTGCTCCAGCTTTATTGATTGTTTATCCAGTAGTCTGCTGCTCAATTGGAATATACAAGCAGCAAGCAGGTCTAGATCAGAGATGGACTGCGTTTAAGACTGATCCACATCAATACACCACCTGCTACACCCTCTCCAGCCTCCATGATCTGCACATCTATAAACACATCCACTGACCGGCATGATGCAACTTGACCTATATTAAGAAACTTTGCATCTCTGTTTCTGTGCATGTGTTTGGACAGCTGGTGGAAGAACAGTCCACAGTCTCCAGGCTACACCGTGAGCTACAGGAAGCAGAATATCATAGGTATCTCCTGGGCTCCAGAGTAGCTGAGCTGAACTGTGACATCCAGCAGAAAGACTGCAGGCGGCTCGCAGAGCAGGACGAGGTACACCGCACCACATACTTTGGTATCTTTGATAGTGTCTGGTAAGGGTTCATATAGAGTAAAAGCTGTGTGTGTGGTAGGTGTCCAGTAGAGATGAGACAGTTCTGAGACTGACGGCAGACCTGCGGGCCGCTCAGGAAAATCTGACCGCTGCACAAGAGGAGGTGAGGCTCACCTGTCAATCATTTTGCTCACCTTTTGACAGGTATCTGTGACATACACTCACCATACATACAAATACAGCCACCTACACCATTATTGAAAAGCTTGGGGTCAGATTTTTTAGCGTCAAGTCTGTAATGCTCACCAAAGATGCTTTTATGGAACTGTATTTCAGTTAAAAATAACTGTTTTCTATTTGAATATAATTTCTGTCATGACAACTCTCGGAGGGATTGGCATGGTGATGTACATGTACATTCATGCATTTGGTCTTGGCGGAATAGATCTGCTACGCTGCTGCTGCTACGGCAGAGCAAGTACCGAGACTTGCTACTGCCAATACATCCACAACATGCTGCTGTGAGCATGTAAGAAATATTGCTGCTGCAAATATAACTTACATGAAATAACCCCCATATAGCATACATGAATCACCTCGTAGCAGATCTATACAGGTGGAGCTGGGGAAGGTGGAGGGTTTCTGAAGCAAGCTGCAACTGATACGGCAAGCACTAGTCATATATTTGAATGTTAAGCAGCGAGCTCATTGGCTACCAATACAGGAGAAAACCAATCAGCTGTGCCATGTGATGATGTCATTAGGTCAGATTGAGTTAGACCTATCGGACTGCGCCATCTAGAGTTTCATGCCAGAACTCTGTATATAAAATGTAATTTATTCCTCTGATGCAAAGCTGAATTTCCTGCATCATTACTCCAGTCTTCAGTGTAACATGATCCTTCAGAAATCATTCTAATATTTTGATTTGCTGCTCAAGAAACATTTCTTATTATTAAAAAAAAAGTGTGATTTTTAGATTAGGATATACAGATTTATAGGAAATAGGAAATTCAAAAGCATTTATTTGAAATAGAAATATTTTGCAACACTGTAAAAGAAAAAAAATCTGTGACATTTACAGTAAAATACCAGCAGCTGTGGTTGCCAGAACTTTACCATAAAAAAATATGGTAGCGCCATTTTAGGTTTTACAGACTTAACTTAAATTCACAGTAAAAAACAAACAAATTTCATTAACTGATAAATTGATCAAATTCAAATAATCTTTGAATTTTGACACATTGAAAAATACTTTTTTTACATTGAGTAAACTTGGTCAGTCATGCTGTAAGCCAAGGGTTTTGCAGCTTAGCCTCCATTAAGTATCTGTGGTAGAAACAGTAGCCGAGCTTGTAAACATTGTTTAATTTCACCTTGATCATATCAGCATTTACTTGTTTAGCTCAGGTACATATATAACTCTAGAAGACTGCATCTAAAGGTCTCCGTGGGCCGAATGCGGGCAGGATCAAGGACGCGGGCCGTCCAGTCCATCTGCTCTCACTCACACACTCAGAAGAATAAAGATGGAGCTGACACCCGGCCCGTCTCCTGCTCGCAGCCAAACTTTTGCATAACCTGTCAATTGAACTAGAAGCTGTTCTGGTTTATTTATACATCTCTGACTGGTCAGTTATTTGTTTGGTGTCCTTGTATGTTATAAATGGGACAAACCTGTCACTTCAGTGCTGACTGGGTGTTTTGAGTTCTTTGAGAGATTTTCTTTTTCATATTTATTAATTTATTTTGACTTTTTTCCGAGCGAGCGAGCAGTGAATAATGCATTGGATTCTGCTCCATGTACTGTTTTTGTCATTAGCATTCAGCCCGTTATCTTCCGAACTTATGAGTGCCTGTGAAATGTTTGTGATGTTATTTATTTATGTTGCCCTCTCAGTTATTCATTTGTTTATTTATTCATGGCAGAACTAACTGCAATTGGAAAATTCATTTTTGCTGAAGGGCACATCTAGCCTTCACCCCCCCCGGTTTCCATGGCCAAACAGCTGCATGCAAGCCTCACATCAACAAATACAATGCCAAGCATCAGATGGAGTGGTGTAAAGCATGCCGCCATAGTTCACAGCATTCATGTTTTTACAGTCAAATACAGTCTTGCTGATCATGAGCAATGTCTTTGAGAAATATGTAAAAAAAAATCTAGACATGCAGTCTGCATTTACAAACATTTGTGAAAAAATGGGCCAGTCTGAAGAGCTCAGTGAAGTACAATGCCAAGCATCAAATGGAGTGGTGTAAAGCATGCCGCCACTGGACTCTGGAGCAGTGGGAACCTGTTCTGTGGAGTAACAGTTTCCACTGAGCTAAATTCCACATATCTTTCCCTAATCCATGGGTGAAAACCCAAGTGTTTTCTAGTGTCCAAGTGTTTCCTATTTTAATATATTTTAAAATGTGATGTATTCCTTATTTTGTCAAAGCTGAATTTTAATTATTATCAAGGCTGAAAGCAGTTTAATATTTAATATGTTCTGTTTAATATTTTCCTAGAAATTAAATTAAATTAATAGTACTTTTATTCAACAAGGACACATGAAATTGATCAAAAGTGACAGTATAACATTTATATTGTTACAAATGATATCTATCTTTCTACTCATCAAAGAATCCTAAAATATGTTCATGGTTTCCACAGAAATATTTAGCAGCTTAAAAAAGGTTTTCAGCTCTGACAATAAGAATGATTTCTGAAGAATCATGTGATACTGATGACTGGAATAAGAGCAGCTGAAAATTCAGCTTTACCAACACAAGAATAATGTAATGTTATTTCTATTATTTTTACTTTATTTTTTATCAAATAAATGCAGCCTTGGGGAGCATAAGAGACTTCTTTCAAAAGCATTTAAGAATCTTAATTATTCCCCACACACAAGATAAAATATGATCAAAATAGCCATCTTGCTTTACCATAAACTTACAGTTAATATTGTCATTTGTTTGACTGTGGCGTGTTTAGCTGGCAGAGCAGATGCAGCAGGTCATGTCTAGGGAAGAGGAGGTTGTGGCCCTGCAGAAGGAGGTGAGCAGACTTCAGGAGATCCTGAAACAGAGAGAAGAAATGATGGAGAAGAACAAACACAACACAACACAGCTCCAGCGAGAGACAGACTTCCTTTACAGACAGGTAAACATACACACACAAAGTACAAGCCCACTAAAAATCACAAATTGGCCAGTCTGGGTATTGAGACCTGAGAAAGATCCGGCGTAAGCATGAGTTTGGTGGTGTTGTTGTGAAGTGCTTGTGTGTGTGTTTAGCTGAAGGGTGTTTGTGAGGTCTCCGGTGAGCGCACTCACGTGTAATATTTCCTGTCTGCTGCATCGTCAGTCCACACATAGGCATGGAATTCCAATTAACTCCCTTTAATTAGGCCCTCCCTTGCTCATGGCACAGTTCTTTCATTTATTTTAATCTTGTTTATGCACCTTGATTGTTTCACAATATAGATTTTTTTTTAATTAGGGAAGATTGATTAAATTGCATTGATTTTCTGTCCTTATTAAAATTAAACAGTCCCCCCCCCCCACTCGTCCCCCCCCCAACTCTACTCTCTCCAAACCAGTGTTATTTTTCATAATTACTGCCTGTGCCTTCAGCTTGGCTTTAGGTGTGTGTGTGTGTGTGTGTGTGTGTGTGTGTGTGTGTGTTATGAAAATAATATTTATCATACTTTATTACAGCATCTGAAAGACTGTTGTAGTGGTAGCCACTTTATGATTTAGTGGAAGTTTCATTAAATGGTTGTGTACTATTTATTAGTTGCATTTTCCAACAGAATAGGTCCTATTACATATAGGTCCTAATACATTAAACAAAGCAATACAATAAATTGTTTTGTTTTGTTTTGTGTTTATATTAATATATTAACTCAAATTATAAAAATGAACAGAAATATATTACTATTGTAAATTATAATTGTACTGTAAAATAAAAAAAATGAATATTTAATGATAATTACAATAATAATCGTATTTACACTTAAAGTCCTTCATGTCCAAACCCTTGAGCTTCAAACATTTCAAATCCTTGTGCTTTTATTTTGGCGAAATATTGCTGAAATGCTGTAATTTTCTGTCCACAAAAATGTTGGATATTATGCAAATATGTAAATAAAGTAAACTTAACGCATGTTGCATTCAAAAATGCATGTTAAACTCAAGCACAAGTGTTCACTGCAAACCGAGCTTCTCTGAGACTGATTGTTTCATGCAGCCACATTCATTTATTTAAATTTTACATTCAGTATAGTTAATTATTAACTTTTCATCAACAAAATCTGACCTAGGCTACGTTTACACGACAATGATGTAGTCAAAAACGGAAAAGTTTTTCCCTTGCATTTTTAAAAAGTTTCACGTATACACGACGTTTTCAAAACAATTTGCGTTTACACATATCCGTGAAAACGGCCAAAAACGCTGTATTACGTATGCCAGGCCAGTAGTTGGCGCTGTCACCTTGTTAGTAAACACCCGTTGGGAAGTGACGATTATATGTTGTATATGATGCATCTCCGCTGTTGGTTGTAATATTGTGAAGTAAATCCACACTTTGCTGAAGAAGTGTTAGCAAACTCTTGAGCAGCAACAACTGTACCATGTACTCCGCCATGGTTGTGTATGTTTGTTCGCGCCTGCCTTTAAAATCGACACGTACTGCGCATGTCTACATACCTAACACGTACTATGCACGCGCATGTCATCACCGTTTTCAAAGATTCCCGTATTGGGTGTTTGTTTACACGGAAACGATAACGGTGGCGTTTTCAAAAACGTGAACTTTGAAACCCGTTTTCAAAAATAGGCGTTTTCAGTTCCCAAAACGCCGTTGTCGTGTAAAAGAACAGGCAAAATGCATTAAAAGTTTCCCGTTTTTGGCTGAAAACGTTTTCGTGTAAACGACCCCCTAGACACTACCCAGAAAACACCTAGCATGTGTTCAGAAACACCTCAGCAAATACACATCAACCACCAACAAAAGCTTAAGTCCTATTCACACCAAGAACAAAAACTCTAAATATAACCAATAACTATATTAGCATCCACGCCAATGTACAGTAACATTGTGCACACTGAATTTATGTCGTCTATTGCTTTAAATGCTCAAGGTTTTTAAAGTCAGGTGGATTCTGATTGGCTGTTAGTGTTTTTTATTATCCATCAGCTGGAAAAATAATCTTTCTTATAGTGATACTAATGATATTGTTTCTCTGTATCTCTGTTCTCATAGAATTACAGCAATTGTCTTTGGTGTGAACAGGCCTTTAGTGTTATGTTGGCTAATTTTGCACATCAGACAACACTGATTTTATTTACAAAATGTGAAAATGTATTTTCTTTCACAGTGGCATTAGATTATTGTAGTAGATGATTGTTATAGCAAACGCTGACTGCTTGTATAACACTTGAAGCCCTCTAGAAGATCCAGTGCTTCTCAACCTCCTGCTGTCTGCTCTGCCTGATAAACACTTGATGCTGATCCGTAGAATTTCTAATCATGAAGCTCATCTCAGCTTTTTTAATTTTGATCGATGACTCCGTTTATCCTTTACATAACACATTCCTGTCTCTGTTCTAGCCCTCCACCTCTCTCTGCACCCCTCCGCCTGGTATGAAAATGATATTAGAAACTAAATGAGATTTGAAATTGCGTGTTTGACAAGTGACTTGATGACAGGGTTTTATTGCAGGGCCTGATCCATGGAAATTTTATGCTAATAACACTGCTGGCCAACCGATCTAGTATGAAATTAATCAGCGGTGGAAAAGAGCGAGAGAGCTCCATAAAAAGTGTGTCTACCCTCCTCTCTCTCTGTCTGTCTGAGTCTCATCTGAAATAGCCACAGGCTGTTGTCTGTGTGATGAGTTTGTGACTGAAATAGGGACTTAGAAAATTAGACTGAGCTTAGCACTGATTCATGCTGTAATGCCGCCACGCGACACACTGCTGTCAACTCCTTCCAAGGACTCATCAAGGTGCGCCAGAGTAATTTTTTGTTTATGTTGCTTTGGCCCATATGTCATCTTGGACGTATACTGACACCTAGAGGTGTGGATGCAATATCATGTGAAAGTTTTCAGTTGCTGATGCCATTGATGTAGACATGCAATATTCACAGTCAGCCATTGTTGATTTATTCTGTATGAGAAAGTGTCCAAACGAGGAAGTACAGAGATAAAGCCAGTAGAATTGGTGGTAGATAGCTGGTAATGTGAACATGTCTGCCCAGATTAGGCAACCAACTCCACGTAGAATAAAACATATTTAGGCTACTGATACAAATGGAGTCTTCATCTCATTTTTCAAAACTCCTATTAATTTCTACATTTGCCAGCTTTTCTAAAAGCTTCATTCATCTCTCTCAAAAATTGCAACAATATAGGAATAATGGATATGGAATATGAAGTCAACTATACAGTAATACAGAAATCTATAGTCAAGCATAAAGAGTAAATTTTATAGTATAATATAATATATTATTATATAATATAATAATTATTACTGATTGTTATTATTATTATTATTCACGAAAAGTAGACTCTTTATAGAATGACAATTATCGTCATTATCATCATTATTATTATAGGAATAATGGGATAGGAAGTCAACTATACAGTGATACAGAAATCTGTAATCAAGCATAAAGAGTCTACATTGCATTAATAATATAATATAATAATTATTCATGAAAAGTAGAGTATTGATATAATAATATTAATAATATAATACATTATTATTATTGTTGTTGTTAATGTTGCATGAATTAATAAATAATAATAATAATAATCATGTAAAGTAGACTCTTAATATATAAGAAGAGCAATAAGAAGAATAGTATTATACATTATTTATTTATTTAGAATTCATTGTCAGGCTGGCTAAATGAAAACCTTATAGAAGTTCCATTGTCTCATGATTAACTTTATATTTGGAATTATGTTCAAACTGATCCCAAAATGTTTTATTAGCTAGCAAATAATAATAATAATAATAATAAATAAGAACCACCTTTTAACTGTACAGTTTTCTACGATTTTGATTTCTGTTTTTGCATCTATATGCCATAACTTTGACTCATTTAAAAAGTCTGCATCAATGCGCTTTTTTTGTGCCACAACTGCAGTGTAAATCAATTTAGTTGACCAATCAGACAGCCTCAAAAAGTCTCAAATGTCCACATTTTTCTTGTGGTTGTCAAGCCTCGCCTTGCCTTTATCACCTTTTACTAGTTTACATCAACTTAAGGAACTTTTATATTCTCTTCTTCTCTCTGCTTGCTTGCTTCATTTATCCCATTCATCTGTCAGAGGTTTTCCCATGTGCATGTCCATGTTACTCCTCCCGGCTCGATTCCAAGAAAACAGAAGCGTAGGTGAATCACTAATGGAGTCATTATCAGTTTCCACTCTTTAAAAACAACACAATTAGTGGTGTATTCTTAATGATGCTTGCAAGGGAAGTTAGGTGCACTGAGGAGACTCCATCCAGGGCCTTCACCAAGTCCAATAAATCACGCAAGTTAACTCACAGAACTAATATACCGCATGTGTGTGTGCGCAGTAGTCTGTGTGATTTATTATTTTCACCCTGCGAGACATCTGTTACAGTGCTTCTTATTTTTGTAATGCATCATCAGCCAGGGGAAAAAATTATATTATCCAATCTGGGATCGTCTCTCTCTGGAGTCTAATAATCTAATGTAGAGCTGCTATCAGTGAGGCACCACAGACACGCTTCAGGGAGCAAACAGGCTTCGCTGATTTCTGTCTGAGAATCTCTAGCATTCATTATATATGCCAGCCTGTGACTGCAGATGTGAGTCTGTAAATATAGAGTAATAATAGGATGCTTGTGACTCTAAATTCTAACTAAATGAGCTGTATTTGAAGTGTACTAATTAAGAGTGCCGTTGTACTGAATATCAGCATGGCTATGATACGAGCACACGGGTAGTTAATTGTAAGTGTGCTATTGTGTTTATACAATAGTTCTGTGAACTAGAAATTAGAAGTAACTTACCAACAATATTTGGCAGGTTTGTATATTTATTTTTTGCTAATAAAAATAGTCCCAAAAGAAGCCAACGCATCAAGCTTTGCATGTCACCTGTCACCCTGTCCCAGGATTTCACAGAACTTATTTGTGGCCTCAAATTACTAAACTTCCATAGAAATTACTCATAATTCTGCTTTGCTAAAAATACAGAATTGTGTTAGACACAGTAGTTTTCACACTGTCACTGAATCAGTACAGTATGTCATCAGTAAATATTTGCCCTAATATACATTATATTCTGCATTATATATAGTTATTTAATAGTGTCATTAAAGCTTTAGAAACATTAATTGCATTCCACTCATGTAACATGGAAATGAAAACACTTGAATATGAACCTGGTGGTGTTGAAGTCCCAGTGCTTTACAATGGAATTCACTGTGCCAGGACAGATGAACATGTATTGATTTGGTTGTTTTGGCTTAGATTTATAGATTTTGCCATAAATTACCATTCCATCAGTTATTTGTAGGCATTAGAGATTTTTAGAAGTTATCAATATCGGATGATATTTTATACTGTTTATACTATATGTCCGCTCAATATTTAATTGTGCTGCACATTTTCCCTATTTTTACATTTAGATCACCTTCTAGCTTACTTAAAATTCATCTTTAAAAACATGAATAATTTAATAACCTTGTGAAATATAATCTTTAGAAAATTAATAACCATTTTTCATACTGCACATCATAATGTTGTGCTGCCTACATTTAAAGGGCACCTATTATGCAAAATTCACTTTTACATGGTGTTTGAACATAAATTGGGAGTTTATTGAGGCAAAGTCATAGTTAATAGTTTGAATTATATTTTCTGTTTTCATTTGAATTATAGTTAAAGTTTTAGTAATTTTCTTGTGTTTTTGTTATTTATTTATTTTAATATGTCTGTACAGTTTTTATTATAATATATTTGTATTTAAATTTTGAATTATATTTTCTGTTCTCATTTAAATTATATTCAAAGTGTTTAATAATTTTATTTTATTTTTTTTTTCAGTTTTAGTTAAATATAATAACCCTGGGCTGTTCAGTTGATTTGAACATTTCATCACACTTATGGTTTCCAAAAAATGTATAGTTTTTTTCACACCATCAAGCAAACTAGGTGTTGAAACACATTCTGTTTATCGCTCAGTTTTGTTGTTTGTTGTGTGTCAGTGTGAAGTCCAAAAGGAGGAGCTGTGTGATCTGTGTGAGGAGGTGCAGCGATGGCAACAGGAGGCGGAGGAACAGAAGGAGAGCCGGGTGAAGGGGGTGCAGGCCCTTAAGGAAGAGCTGCAGAGCACACGAAGTCATCTGCAGCAGCACAAAGATAACCTGGAGAGTCTGTGCCGAGAGCTGGAGACGGCCCACAGACAGCAGAGAGGCACGGAGGACGAGGTGAGACAGCGCAGCAGACTTCACTTTCACTATATCACAACTTCTGCTTCTATATATAAGTGTTTGTGTGTGCCAGGCCTCCTGCAGGGCGGCAGCTCTCCGCAGTCAGCATGCAGAGTTGATTGAGCTGAAGGCAGGTCTACTGGAGGCTGAGAAACTGGCCACAGACGCAGAGGCACGACTGCAACCTCTTAGCGAATCCCTCGAGCTCTGCAAACACAAGTACCAGGCCTGCCTCAGCAAGATCGCACAACTAGAGAACACACTGCATGGCCGCGAGGAGGACCTGAAAGAGGCCCACAGTCAGGTTGGTAAAAATTAAACCTGCTTTGCAGCTGTAGGGGCGCAGAGTATACTGGTTTTGACTGTATTTCTTATAATATTATTCCTTATTCTTTCCACTTTCCAACAGAATATCCGTTTCTTTTGTATTGTGTAATAAAATATTCACCATGTTTTTAATAATCGGCCATAAGATGATCATTATTTTGAAAAGGTATCACAATAAAGTGCTATGTAGTTGTACTTCTCCTCTAAACCAATACCTTCCAGTGTATCAGAAATTAGAAATTCATTTTTCTTCAGAAATTCATATTTTCATTCAGCAATAAATTGATCAAAAGTGACATTAGAGACATTTATATGGTTAAAGAAGGCTTCAAATAAATGCTGTACTTATGAACTTTCTGTTCATCAACGAATCCTGAACAAATTTATCAGTTTCCACAAAAATATTAAGCAGCACAACTGTTTTCACCATTTATGATATTACAAAATATTTTTGAGCGTCAAATCATCATCAGTGCTGAAGACTGGAGTAATGATGCTGAAATTTCAGCTTTTCACCACAGGAATAAAGTACATTTAAAAATGTATTCAAATACAAAACAATTACTTTAAATTGTTTTTTACTGTATTTTTTATGAAAGAAATGCAACTTTGGTGAGCATAAGAGACTTCTTTCATGTTAAAAAAATCGTACCGAACCCAGACTTTTGAGTGGTAGTGTGCATACAATGAACCAAATGAAGAAAATCATCAAAGCATCAGTTTTACTGTACTGTACTCAAAAATAATAGCATTACTATAAATACAGGTATTGTATCAGTGTCACGTTGTACAAAATTATCATGATTTTAACAGTAAAAACACTACGGTAAAAACCTGTTCATTGGTTAAAAGTAAGTTTCCTTACTACTGTAAATACAGTGAATAACTGTAATAGATCTAACCATACATTTAATGTATTTTTACAGTAAAATACTGTTAAATATACCATTTTTGAAAGTTAAACTTTTTTTACAGTGCAGCAAATACCAAATAGACTTGGTTTATAAAAACAGATCCCTAATGACCCTATTTTTTTAGTTAAACTGAAACTATAAAATTGTATATTAAATTACTGAGAGCAGACATCAATGGTGGTCCTGATATGTTTTTGGCTGATGTTGTTTGTGTCTCGTCAGGTGGCACAGAGGGAAGAGCAGGTCCTCCGTCTGAGGGCTCAGGTTGTAGCTCTGCAGGGGGATCTGCAGGTACGCTGCGCCCAGCTGGAGAGTGGAGACGATGCCCTCGCCGCTCTGAGCCAGCAGCTCCGAGACACGCTGGGAGAGCTGGAGCACAGCCCTAAACACAGCCAGGAGTGTGAGCTGCTCATCAGCACTCTCAGAGACACCGCTGCTACCCTTCGCCGACAGGTAACCTGACACTTACTAACCCATAGCTTGATTAGCTGCATGTGTTCCTTCATGGTGACCCAAGTAGGATCACACATCTTGGTCATTCCTGTCAAGCAAATTAGGTCCTAACCCTACCTCTACTCCTAACCATTCAGAATCACTAAACTCAAAGGGAATTAAAGGAATCTGATTGGTTGATTGGTCAGTGTTGAACAAGACCTTCAATGAAAACATTTTTTATTATCGATATGCACAAACAAGATCAACATCATCATCAATATTTAAATAAACAAACAAACAAATAAATAAATAGTGATATTGTGTATATATTATGTGTTGTATATGTTGTAATATTGAATGTTACCTTTTTTAATCTTTAATAAAAAATGAGGAAAGGTATTTACAAATATGATATTATTACCCTGACTTTACTATATACTTAATTTTTTAAGCTTTGAACAATATTGATATTAGTAATGGGGATGTTTTCATATTTATTTATTTATTTATTTAAAAAAAAAAAAAGTTAAAAGGTATTTGTATCACACAATTTGTTTTTATTTCATAAATATTAATTCTTGTCTTGTCATAAAAAAGATTTCATCACATGACTTTAAGACAAGTTTTTTCAAATATTAAAAAGCTGTGACAATTTTTGTTAAATGTATTTCTTCATAGTTTCATACTAGTAATTTTTTTTTATTTTTATTTTTTTTTTTTTATTATGATATCAGGAGAGTTGTATGACCCTGACGTTTTGCTTTATGTCTCCATGCTCCTCATAGAAGAGGTATATACTATTCATTGCATGTATGAATTGCATTTTTAATGTGTCTTTGAAAAAACAAAAAAGTTATTAGATCCATCAAAACAATGAGCATCATTCCACTGACCCAGGAATATTACTCCAGAGATATTGATTCAGAAAAGTTGTCTTGCTTCTGAGAAACCACTGTATATTCACACCTGTGAACTATTAAATTGAGTATGAGAAAGGCTGCAGATCTGAACTATGAACACCCCATAATGCAACAGACTTAACATGCTCATCTCTTCCCTAGAGTTGAATTCTGTTGGGTTCAGATTGCATATCAAGCCAACTGAAACCTAGTTACCGCACATACAGGTGGAAAGTGGCTTGTTAGTGCAGCTTGAGGTGTGAACACAATGGGGAAGCGAATCTACGCCATTCTCCGGGTGCAAAAGCCAATCTGAGCTTCAGAGTTCTTACCGGATTGTATCGATCCAGGTCAAAACCCTCACGCTGCTCGCTATGTGAGGAGAGAGCATTTCCAGGTGTTTCGTTTCCCACAGCATCAGCGAGAAAGCTGCGATAGGCTCTCTTGAGGAATTCTGGGAGTTGAAGTTGCTATTGATTTGTAGTTGTTGGGTAAAGATTGCATGTGTGGCCCTTTCAGACACAGTGACTGGTGTTTAAATGGACCTGAAGTTGTTTTGATTTGTGTGTACATTCACCGTGAGGGCGGCTGGGGGGCATAAAGTGGAAAAGCCTGCTGGGTCTGCGGTGTCTGCTTAAAATAATGGGCATTGCTCTCAGCGGTGGAGGGACAGGCCTTGTCTACAGCCCAGCAGTGCGGTCACCTCTGTCAGATACTGTGCACACTAGGTGTGAGGACCTTCCTGAGCCTTTTTCTCCTCCAGCACCTCCGGCTTCTCCTCTCAGATGCCTGTGATGCCCAGCGTCCCATTAGCAATCCCTAAACATCACACTCATACACGCTATATTGATCCAACTGTTTTCAGTCAGGATCTCCGAACACATGTCCTTCAGCCGTTCGCCCATGTCTCCTCCCCTTAATTGCTCCCGCTCACTCAGAACCTGCTGGGCTGTCGGCATTGTAGCACATAACCTTCAACAGAGTGAAAAGGAAAGTTTTCTTTATCTGTGATTGTGATGTAAAACAATCACGTCAGTTAGTCACCTCACTGTCTTCATTCTCAGTGGAAGCTGTCAGCTGTTATATACTCGTAGACAGACTGCTTTATAAGACTCTCTGAGATGATCCTCAGCTGGACCAGGGGCTTGATACAGCTATTTTGAGTTAGATCACTCGAACATTAAATATTTGTCATTTACTCACCCTCATGTCAAATCAAACCTGTATGAATTTGAATCTTCTGTGTTGAATGTGCAGGTTGCTCTTTCCATAGAATTATAAACTGGGACTGATGCTTTCAAGATTCAAATGCAACATAAAAGTAAAGTCTGTGCGACTTCTGAATTAATATAATACCTTTATGTGAGATTTTAGTCATTATTCATTGATAATCTTCCGCTCCAGTGGACTGTTATCTGCTCATTGAGTCAACTGAGGAACTGAATCAGTCTTATTTCTAAACGAATCATTCAGATCGGTTTTGTATACTAAATCTAACAAATCATTGAACTCAAATGAACATTTCATAAATTGGACATAACTGCTTTTCTCATGCTACTTTTTTCTTTTGCAGAACACAAAAGAAGATATTCTGAAGAATGTTCGTAACCGAACAGATACCATTGACTTCTATTGTATGGACAAAAAAAAAAACACAGTGATACTTTTCAAAATATCTTCTTTTATGTTCCACAGAAGAAAGAAAGTCATACAGGTTTGAATGACATGAGGGTGAGTAAATGGTGACAGTATTTTCATTTCTGGATGAACTTTTGCTTTAAGCACTCCATTGGGTTTTACGTTTTTTGTTTTGTTTTTTTTCTTCATGTCATTTTCATTAATTCGTTCGTTCGTTCATTCAAATTGCATTAAAATTAACTTAAGATCTTAATTTATTTTATTCAGATGTCTATATTTCATGTATTTCTTGTTTATATTGTGCTTTTGTAAGGCACTATAAATTGCCAGTATGATCTGTGCTATATAACCTTCCTTGCTTTTCCAAGCTTGTTGTTTTATGTGTTTCCCAGAACAACAGTAGCAGACAGTGTTACATAATGAAATATTATCTTCATTAAGCCCGAGCCCATTTGGAACTGTTTTATATTCAGTCTTCAGTTCTGACGGCGCTGTGCTGGACTGATTTATCTTTCTCAGAAGGAAGAACTTAACTGTCATTAGGGCCTGTTATCAGACCTTAACAGCTGAAGAGAGGAAAATAGAGACCAGATTGAAACAGAGCTGTGGTTTTATATGCTGCTTTACAGTTCAGAATAATGCCTACCCACTCTTTCTCTCTAGATTACAACTTATTTCCCTATTTTATAACTATTTTTAAGAGATATTTCCAGGGGCGTAAGAGAAATCAGAAAAGTGCGGGGCACATAATAAACTGCATCATCCTGGCTTATGAAGATTAATTAGGTGATAGATCATTTATCACCTAATTAATATTCAGTAGTCTTAACTAAAAAGCAAGTAAATCGGCACTACTAGGCTTTGAGGTTATTCAAGATATATTTTTTAGTAAATGTGTTCCCTAGGAACGAAACCAATGTCCATGGTGTTTCTAGCGGCCATATAATAACAGGAAGACAATTTTCATATTTATTGCCCCCAAGTTTGATTGTGTAAACAATCAACATCATTGTAAATCTAAAAACCTTGTGTGTTTTCAAGGCTGAAGAGCAAGAAGAGATGGCAGTGAAGACACAGGCTGATTTCTCCATCTACCGGGCCACCCACGTTCACTCCGACTCAGACTACGAATCCCAGCTGTCCCGTGTTCAGGAACTGGAGCGCGTGAGTGAAGGGCTATCAGTGTTTGTCTTGTAGTTGAAAGAAACACCACATGCTACTCTCACATCTGCATGGATCCATCACCGATCCATCATCTCTGCCTGTTACAAAAATGGGCTTTAAATGGACCTGTGTCGTACGTTACTGTATGCATTGACACCGTGCAACTCGGGGACTATTTATCAGTCATGAGCGGAGGCTTTGATTGAATCCGGAGAGGCTTCGCGCAAGTTCATGGGCACCTTTGTGACTAATTGTTTGTTATGTCAGCGTGGCAGCGAGCCATCCAGCTTTAATGGAGTGTAGTGGAGCGATCCATCAGGCTGTCGGGGAGCTCGCGCGTCAGCCGAAGTGTCAGCGTTTCGTCGCGCTCTACGCAAACGGCGGTGTGATTTAGTGCCCTCCTCGCGCCACTGCCCACCCGCTCCCCCTTCTCAGATTGATTACTCTTCTGTCCCGCTGACAGTGCCCGCCATCTTCTGGCAACCTTTTAGCAGGGTTTTATAGATGATTCGAGCACCTCGTTTGGCTATTTATACATCTGTAAGTGGCCATGAAATATAGATTTGTCTTGACACGTGTTGGCGTTGGAGCGGCGAGTCCCAGCGCCTCGTGACACCTCGTTATTTTAATGGTGCCAAACGAAGGGCCCCCAACCTTGCCTGTGTTTGCTGATTATGCCTGTACTATATTAGTTTCACATTCAGATCTCGCTAAAACCTGTTCCGTTTGCATGCAGCAGACAGAAACGCGGCGTCGAGAGCCATGACACGCCGGTTCACCTGTCAAAGCCGTGACGTGCGAGTGCAACCCGGTTCCCAGGGTAATTAAGAGATGGCACCCACACGTAGAGCATCCCAGAGACTTAATTGAATGGTTAGCGCGTCAAAAGCACAGGCTGCCAGATTGGAGGCGACACCTGTCAGGGACAAACCGGGTATTTGCCTTGCATCGAAACCTCAGCAGGTGTATATGTACATGCCGCAGTGGGGATTCTAAATGAAGGCCATACGGGAGAGGAATGGAGTCAAAGAGGCGAGCGGAAGCAGCGGGTGTAGCGATAGCCTTAGGGATGGAGACAGCTCAGGGAAGAGGGGGAATTCTTATCCGCCTTAGGTCGGCCCCTCCAGCGCCCCGGGCATCAACACGACTCCCCCAAGGCACAGTCACAGAAGTTTGACAGCTGTGTGACGACTTTGCATGTTAGTGGAGGTGTGTGTGTGTTTGTCCTTAGGCGCTGGAGCGCTGTGGTCAGAGCGCCCAGGAGTTGCGGGTCTGCCAGCTGGAGTTGGCGCGGCACCGAGATGCCAGTACAGCAGGTGAGTGAACTCGCAGCTCACTTTCTGACTCGATTCTCACACTGATTCCAATCAGCCGTGTGTTTTGCAGAGGTGCAGCGGCTGCAGGAGCAGGTGAGGAAGCTCCAGGCGGATGCAGCGGATGAGGGCCGAAGACGAGCACACATTGATTCTCTGGAAAAGAAGGTAGCCAGTCTAGAAGGAGAGCTACAGGCAGCTCAAAGGCAGTGTGACCACGTAAACAAGTACACACACTGTATGTGTACAGAGCAGATTCGTTTTGCCTGTGGCGGATTCTCACAGTCGCCCTCTCTCAGGCTATCCAGAAGAGAGATGCCCTACTGAGACAGTCCGAGGCTGATCTTCTGCAGGCACAGGAGAAGATCCGAAGCAAGGCAGCGGAGGCAGAGAGGCAGGCCATCTCTGCTCGAGGGCTGGAGGCTGATCTGCAGAGAGCCAAGAAAGAGAAAAGGCAGAGGGAGAAAGAGTGCGCCTCACTCAAAACACAGATGCTTCAGCTCAGAGAACAACTGAAGGAGGCTCACGCCACCTGCAGAGACACGGGTAACACAGACCAGAACACCTGTAGAACTTTCATGGTGGATAGCCATGCTGTGAATAATTATAAAGAAATTAGAAAAAACTCTTAGATTATTGGATGAAACTGCAGATGGCCCCAAGAAGTATTTGGACACCTAAGCCAAACTCTGTACTGGGTAGGTTACTTAGAAATTGTAGTCAGTTAATGATAACAAATTACATGACAAAAATTGTAGTTATTAATGTGATCTATTACACGAGACATTTTAAGTAATATAATCGGACCACTTTTTGTTTACTTTTAGATTACTTTTGACCTAACTTGTTTTATCACATTCATTTGAATATTGATATTAAATTACAAAGTCGAAGAAATTATATCCAATTTTTTGTTATCAACAACATGAAGTGCATTAAACATTTAGTCAAGGTTTCATAATTCATAATTTTATGAAAATCTAAGAATTAATTACATCACAAAAATGTACAATTAAAATAAATAAATAAAAACAAATTAAAATAAAATGCACACAAAACAGGATTAAATGTTTTATTTGCTTACCTGCATATTACAGTATGTAACCGTTAACCAACATCAGACGGATCCATTAACAATCAAATCTAGAAGCCTTTCTGAACAGATATAATTGAAAAGCTTTTTTTAGAAAAGAAAACTTAAAATATAAACAAAGGGATAATCAATCAATTAAGAATAACTCACTGCCATTGTGTAAATAATATATAATCATGGTATCGATAGAAATGGAACTGTAGTCTGATTATGAGTATTTTAAAATGTATTACACACTAAACTACACCTGTGCTTGCTCTGATAGGACATATTCATTACAAACAATCTTGGGGCCAGCTGATTAAAAGTCTTTGTTAAAATGGCTCAAAAAATTTGAGCAATTTTGGTTCAGAGAAAGCTTGTTTCTTCAGTTTACCATCAAATATGGTTAACGGAAGCTCAGATGTGCTTGCTTGACCCATGAGAACAAACCATGGAAATTCATGCTGGTCTAATTTGGTCATTTTCAGCAAGGCAGTAATTTTCTCTTGATTTCGCAAAAGAAAAGCAATTGCATTTAAATCTGTGTGATAGAGTGTGTGGGTTTGTCAGAATATGTGTGTGCACCTGTTTGGGTTCTTCAGCAGTCTGAGTCTCCGGTCTGAAATGAAACAGCCCATCAATTCAGAGCCTCAAGCCATCAGATACATGCACATCTTCACACACTGTGGGAATGATGCTCATTAGAAACAATATCCTCAACGTAGATGAAGACAGGCAGATGTGGCCATGGTATACCCTAAAAAGGGATTAGCATGTTATTTTATATGGTCTACAACATATAATGACTTGGACTTAATGAAGGTTTGCACACATACACGTGTGTGTGTGTGTGTGTGTGTGTGTGTATATAGATGTATGTATATGTGTGTATGTGTATGTATATATATATATATATATATATACATACACATACACACATATACATACATCTATATACACACACACACACACACTGTGTGTGTACATGTACATGTGTGAGTGTGTGTGTGCATATATATATATATATATATACACACAAATACCCCAAACATTTGATCGGTAGAGCATATATTGTTAATCATATCCAAAACTCTGACACTTTTGAAGTGAAATCACAGATATTATGTTTTATATGTGTGTATGTTTCAGCCCAAGAGCTGATGCGGCAGCAGGAGAAAGTGCAGCTGTTGGAGAGAGGTCAGCGTCTGGCTCAGGAGCAGCTCTCAGAGCGTGTGACGGAGGTGGTGCAGGCAGAGAAAGCCCAGAGGAGACTCCAGGCAGAGCTCAAGAGAATAACAGAGAGTCTGGAAAGCACCCAACTGGAGCTCCAGGACTCACGGTAAACCCAAAACCAGGGAGTCAGCATGGTCCAGTTAGCCCCTGCTGGTAGATTCCACAACTACACAATTATATGGAAAAAATGGATGGCCATTCAAAAGTAACCATGTGTTCTGACGATACTGTTTGCAGCAAAATACAATCATAGCAGTATTTTATTATAATTGACGTCACAGCTCAACACATAATTTCCCTGTGAAATCAAAGTGATTAGTCACATGGAAATTGCAACTCAAATTATTGTCTCAAAAATGCTTAAGTGTCCAGAATTAAACACCTGTGAGCAAAAATGGCAGCGTGCATGTTGCTTACTTTCTCAGCATTCACTGTTTTCCAGTGTGCTTGAATGCAGTTTGAGTGATTAGTTGGACAGCATAGTACAGCAGACAGCTTTCCAAACTCAGTTCCTCAGGATGACACTCTCATATCACACTCATATTAAGGCTGCTAGTGAAGCTATGAGCCGATTAATCCAAATTTCTCAGCTTTATACTGCCTTCAGGTCATGTCTGAATGATCATATTTACCAGATGAGCTCACATGAACGCCACCACAATGCCAGTATTACCAGTGGGAAAGTCTGGATTTTCCTTGAGCCCTGACTTTCTGAGTTTGGGGTAGGTCTATTGTAGGCATATTTCAGGTTAAATACAGCTTAAGCTCTATGGATGGCAGCTGTCGATTACTGCAGAAAATAATTTAGTAATTTAAAATGAAGGTAATAATTTAAAAATACATTTCCCATGATGACAGCAGAATGATAATAGAGTGCACCGGTCGGGTTCCGAAAGTAAAAATATTCTATTCATTTTCTCCATAGAGGAATTGATTTTTAACACTAACTTAGAAACCTTTACAGACAGACCTACTGTGAGCTACTGTGTTGTTAATCATCGGTGCATATTATTTCAAATTATTTTTTGAATAGTCAGGTTTAACAGTAAGATTACTGGTGAGAAGCTACATTACTCATTGTTTTTTCGGTCTCTTCATTTTAAGGTCCAATTCTTGCCATTAACAAACCATTTACTACGACTTTTGCCTCAATAAACTCCTAATTTGCTGCTTATTAATAGTAAGGTTGTTGTTAAGGTATTGGGTAGAATTAGGGATGTAGAATGCGGTCATCCAGAATATGTGCTTTATAAGTATTAATAAACAGACAATATGTTAATAATAGGCGTGCTAATAAGCAACTAGTTAAGAGTTTTAATTGGTCCCTATACTAAAGTGTTACCCGAAATTTCTGCCAATCAGAGAATGATGATAAGCAAATTGTGCCTAAGAACTCTTTAGCGACCCTCTTCTCCCATGATGCACTGACAGTCACCAATAACATAATCTAGTTAGTCTCACTTCATGCAATTACTTTGAATGAAAGCTATTTGATCGCGTAAAGGTGTAAATGCCCTTCAAAATGCATTCAGTTGCATTGCCCTTCAAAATGCATTGCAAACTGGGCATGAAAAAAATGCTCAGTTTGCAATGCGATGGCACAAATCATCCCAGATGCAACTGTATGAATGCTTTGGTTGTTGAAGCCACATATGTGAATTCTACTCTTCCCAAAACTGAAAAAAGTCATATATCTAAATTTTACTCATTCCAAAATGGCAACAAAAATGAAGGTGTGAAAGAGTGTTATACCAGCTTCTGGTAACCAGATAGCACAACCGCAGCACCAGATATGAGCTTCTTTCTTTAGAAAGCACATGCAAATGAAACTCAACAGTCAGCATCACATCTTAAAGTTAAACACACAGTCGTCTTTATTAAAAGTGGTAAATGCTAAATTCTCTCACCAGTGCTGATGATGTTCTTTCAACTGTTGCAGCCTTTGATTTTGAAATGATCTAAAATGCAGCACATATCTTTTGATTTTGGTGACGTGAACACTGTTGAATTTGCATCAGATCAGATTTATATCAGTGCTGTCAAACGATTGATTGCGATTAATCGCATCCAAAATAAAAGTTTTTGTTTACGTAATATATGTGTGTGTGCTGTGTATATTTATTATGTATATATAAATACACACACATGCACATATATATTTAAGAGAAATATGTTGTTTATATATTAAATATACTTATATATAATATAAATAATATGAATATAAATGTATACATGTAAATATTTTCAAAATATATACTGTATATGCGTGTATTTATATATACACACACACATATTATGTAAACAAAAACTTTTATTTTGGATGCGATTAATCGCGATTAATCATTTGACGGCACTAATTTTTTATTTTATTTTGCGGAGACACATTTACTGCATGTGGCCAAGTGTAAATGAAACAGTTTTATCAAACCAGATAGGTATCTGATTAATAAAAAAACCCATGAAGTGACTGTGTGTGTAAATGGGCACCATTATGTTCCAAACAACACACAGTCATAATTACATAATTATACTATGAACCCATAATTATGAGCTTCCCAGGAGGACTTGCATGCAGCATCAGCTAGGGAGAGAGAGAATGGGATTGGGACTCAAACCAGGTTCCCAATGAGCCAACAGCTCTTACATAACGTGTCCTGAGCATGTGCACAGTCCACTGCGCCGAGTTTTATTAAGCGAAGCTGCAATTCTCAGGACAGCTCAGAGTGTGTTTTTGCCTTCATGACCCTTGGCGTGCTGCTTTTACCTCTTGCTCTCTCCTCCTATGAGAAAGTGTTCTGCTCAATGGAGGAATCACCGTGGGTCTGGATCCATGTGTGAAACAGATGTTTAACTGGCTGGAAGAGGACGAGAGAGCGCATCTTAACTATCACCTTGCCAAAGGTCTCTTGTTCAGTCAGCCATCCACTGGTGCTCAGCACAACTTCCCATCTGCCAATACGCATTACAGAGGATTTAGTAATTAAGTGGTAAGTTGAGGACTAAATTGGGTGTTTGTGGGCCACAGATCTACCCCGAGGTCCCTGCAGCCATGCAGATAGAGGATTCTAATTGCTAGGGATATTGATCATTCCTGGCGAGGGTGTGCTGGGGGATTTCGCGAGCGATCGATTAGCTGTTACCGTGGCCGCTTCGCCAATAGCAGAGAAAGAGGTAAGAGAGACGCGTGGGGCTTTTCGCAGGATCTCCCCACGCTCTTCACCTCCTGAAAAAGTGACACGTCACCTAGTCAACCGCCCACTTCGGTGCCCAGACACCCTCTTTTGTCCTTGACTTGTTTGGGTTGCATCTGAAGGCCGAGAAGGTTTGGGTTGGTCAATAACTCTCACTTCTGCTGCGTTAAGCTTTTCTCTTGCCTTTCCAGTTTTTTTGCGAGTGATTTGAGACGCTGTGGTGGGTCTGATTTGTTGTAGTTGGGTGTGATTTCTTGATCCATGCTGAAACGGTGCATGAGCTCATCGCCGCCCTGCTCTCGTAATTAGTTTCGGCCACGCTCATTAAATATTCACGCTTGCCTTCTCTAATTAAATCTAACCTCTCGCTCATGCTTACCGTTCCTGCATGTTATCATGCCTCAATTAAGATGCGTTCTGGTCTGTCTGACTGACTATAGTCGAGTTGGAGAGAGATGTTCTGGAAGTGTCCCATTCTCTCATGCCTGATACACAATTTGCTCTGTAAATAAAAATCCCACACTCCATGCCGTGCTAAAAAAAGACCAGCTTAAACCAGATTTGGCCTCAGATGGTCCAGAGTCTGTTCACTGACCATCTAATGCGTATTGCACATAAGAATTGTTGGCATGCTTGAATTGTTATGGAAATAATATACTGTGAGTCCTCCTAAAAAATAAAATTTGCTGAAAATGTACTCACCCTATGGTAGATGAGTTTATTTCCTTATCAAAACAGATTTGGTGAAGTTCAGCATTGCATCACTTGCTCACCAATGGATCCTCTGCTGTGAATGGGCACCGTCAGAATAAGAGCCAAACAGCTGATAAAAACATCTCAATAATCCATGTGACTCCAGTCAATCAGTGAATGTCTTGTGAAGTGAAAAGCTGCGTGTTTGTAACAAACAAATCCATCAATAAGGCAATTTAACTTGGAACTGTCGCTTCTGGGTAAAATACAAGTCCATAATCATTAATAATGCTTCCTCCATTTTGACGGCACCCATTCACTGCAGAGGATCCTTTGTTGAGCAAGTGATGTAATGCTAAATTTCTCCAAATCTCTTTTGATGGAGAAATAAACTCATCTACATCTTGGATGGGCTGAGGTGAGTAAATTTTCAGCAGATTTTTATTTTTGGTTGAAATACAGAGTTCTGGCATGAAACTCTAGATGGCGCAGTCCGATAGGTCTAACTCAATCTGACCTAATGACATCATTATCACATGGCACAGCTGATTGGTTCTCTCCTGTATCGGTAGCCAATGAGCTCGCTGCTCAACATTCAAATAAATGACTAGTGCTTGCTGTAGCAGTTGCAGCTTGCTAAACCCTTCACCTTCCCCAGCTCCACCTGTATAGATCTGCTACGAGGTGATTCATGTACGCTATATGGGGGTTATTTCATGTATGTTATATTTGCAGCAGCAATATTTCTTACATGCACACAGCAGCATGTTGTGGATGTAGCAAGTCTCGGTACTTGCTCTGCCGCAGCAGCAGCGTAGCAGATCTGTTGTGATACAGATACATAATCGATACAGATCTGAAATATGTTTAAAGTGTAGTGCTGAATGTACTGGCTAACTGGCTGTAATTTCTATTGAAAAATTTGTATTTAAATATATTTGTAAGTACATATTTGTAATGATGAAGTTACAGTTTATTACGTTTAAAATCTATTAATCTTAAATGTAATACTGAATACCACACTGCAATTAAAATATATCAATAATAATCAAGTACTTTACATTTGCTTTAGTATGTTAGTTAACACATTAAAATAAGTGTACTTCTTTAAAGTATGACAAAGGACAGACTCTTACGCTGAAAACTGGCAGTTCTTGGCAAGAATAAAACAGCAAAGTGTACCAGACTTTATACTGGCTACAAAGGTCTAAGCTCAATGGAATAGTTCACCCAGAAATGAAAATTCTGTCATTATTTACTCACCCTCATGTCGTTCCAAACCCGTAAGACTTTCATTCATCTTTAAAACAAAAATGTAGATATAATGACACCTGATATATCTGTCCCTCCATTGAAAATCCATTCCACCCACACTTCAAAAAGATGAATGAAAGTCTTACTGTATGTGTTTGGAACAACTTAATGTTAGTAAATGATGACAGAATTTTAATCTTTGGGTGAACTAACCTTTTTAAACTATTATGAATTCCAGTATGGTTTTTGCTGGTTAGTTGCTGGTTTGGTATGCCCGTAGATCATCCCTGGTGGCCCCCATGGAAAAAAAAACAAAACAACCTAAAGTGGTGACCAGCATATTTCCAGCAGGATGTGGTGATTTGATACTTTGAAACTCATATTAAGTTGTCCGGACTGGTGGAGGATGGAGTTTGGTAAAATAGGGCTCATGTTGTCCTCTTCAGGGGGATGCTGGAGCGTGTGAAGACAGAGGCCAGCAGCAGCAGACAGGAAGCCCTGAGACTCCAGCAGGATAAACAGCAGATCCAGGAAGAACTGGACATCAGCAGAGAGACCATCTCAGCCCTGCAGACTAAGGTGAGAGCCACTTCACACTCATCCTGCTCATATTCAGAGCTTTAAACGGCAGCATTATTAAACAAAAGTGCTTCACAAAGCCCCCTGCAAGGTCATGATCCACTGTATTGATCTGTATTGATTACTGTGTGCCTGAGGAACCACGCATGCTTGCATGCATTCTCGTGTGTGTCTGTGGTTTTGTGGAAAGAGCATAAGCTCCACATGTTTGTGTAAACCTGATGCTCATGATATCCAGCATGATTTGAGAATAATCCATCTTGTGGAGGAAAGAACATCTGACTGTCTGTACAGTGTTCTTATGAACAATGTCATGCCTTTGCTAATTTGATTAATTTAATCTGTCTATCTGCGTTGTAGATGTGTGAACAGGAGAAGCTTCTAAACACACATCAGGAGCGTGTTTCTGAGCTGCAGCTCACCATCCACAGACTGCAGGAAGAGGAAGTGAACAGCCAGACGCAGCTGTGCAGGAGAGAACTGGAGATCAGAGATGAACAAGTGCAGAAGCACTACCAAGAGGTATTATGGGAACACCACATATTAATAATCCAGCCTAATCTACAGGTGCTATAACCCATCCGAAGCTTGTCATTAGCTAGTACAAAGAAGTTTAAGTAATTAATCATTGAACTATGAGTTAGTAGGATCAAAGTTGGCCATATCGGTTAACCTGGACAGAGCACCTTGTATCAGCTGGTGGTGACCTGGTTGAGTTAGTTAACCATATTGTAGTAGATAACTTGAACTGGTTAACCAGTATGGTCTTAAAGGAATATTTAAAAAATTATGTCTCGTGATATTTTATGGTGGTGTGCACTACATTAAAAGTTGAGGGCCGGTAAGATTTTTTTTTTTTTTTTCATGTTTTTAAAATCATGTTTTTAAAAGTCTCTTATGCTCACTACGGCTGCATTTATTTAAATAAAAATACTGTTAATAGAAATAGTGTAAAGTAATGTTACTATTCAAAATAATTGTTTTCTATTGTAATAATATTTTCAAAAAAAAATAAAAAAATCTTACTGACCCCAAATTTTGAACAGCAGTGTAAGATAAATGTTGCATTTCTTGCTGCTCTTTTCTCAGATGAGCACTCTGCAGGCTACGGTGTCCAAGCTGAAGCTGGATCTGGAGCAGGAGCGGGAGCGGTGGCAGCAGGGGATACGAGAGGCAGCCAAGGCCGATCAGAGAGGGAGAGAGCTGAGACTGGAGCTCAGCACAGCACAGGCCTCTCATAAAGAGTATATGGAGCTGGTACGCTCACTTCCACTAACACACAGACACAATGTGAGCCATGCCAACACACTGGAGACAGATATCACCAGTTAGCTGTGTGTTCTAGCTGGCTGAGTACAGTCGAGAGGTGACGGCCCAGAGGAGTGAGCAGGCCCGTCTGCAGCAGTGCCTGATCCAGCTGACAGAGGAGAGGGAGACTCAGGAGGAGCGAGTCAGACAGATGAGCGCAGATCTACAGAGAGCGCACAGTGAGAGCAGGTGCTCTCAGGAGGAGGTAAGACTGATGCATGTGCATATTGAGATTCATTGTTCAGCCTATATTTGTTACCATTTACATTTTTGCATTTGGCAAGATGATTTTATCCAAAGCAACTTACATTTCATTCAAGATATACTTTTTATTATTAGTTCATGCATTCCCTGGGTAATCGAACCCTTGATCTTGGCGTCAGTTGTCCCATGCTGTACTATTTATGTATTCGGTAACATCAGCTAGAGGAACATCAGCCACTAGATTAATTGCAGCTTTGTAGATGTATATGTATGGTCTTAATTCAGTACGAAATTGAATATGCAAAATTCCTCATAAATGCAATATGTAAAGTAGCAACATACTTCTTTATTTCAACTTACATTTTCATACCCATACGTGCAACATTTGGTGCAAAATTATTCAAATGAATGTAATTAGCATTTTGTGTTTCCCATACTTAGTTTCATTTCATTAAAAGTAAAATGCATTATTATTTCCAGAATTAAAATGGAAACATATTCAAGGATATTTAATTTTTTAATTCAATTAGTAAAAAGGAAATTTACATGTTTTTTTTCTTAAAGGGGTCATAGGATGCTACATGCACTTTTACAAGTTGTTTGAACTGAAATGCGTGTTGGCAGTGTGTGTACACAACCACCCTATAATGATAAAAATCCACCCAGTGTTTTTTTTTTTAATCTGGTTAAATGTTTTCCCCTTTCTCAACTCAAGCTGATCTCAGATGCCTGTCTGTGTGACGTCACACAGACTCTGAAAAGAACAAACTATGTTATAGACTTTTCATTAAGACCCTAAAGAATCATATCAACTTGTGGAAAATGGGCATCCTATGACCCCTTTAAATGCATTTAGACTCACAATTAGGTCATCTGAAATTAATTTTATTTTTTATTTTTTCCTTATTTTTCATGTTTTTTCAGCAGAACCTTTTTCTGTTTCAATGCAAATAAATGCCTAAATAAAATCGGTTCCTCCTATAAAGTGATTGTGTCTTGGATTAAACCGTTAAATTCATATGGATTACTTTTACAATGTCTTTATGAGCTTTACTGGTTACATGGACTTTCAATGGAGGGACAGGAATCTCTCAGATTTCATTAAAAATTTCTTAATTTGTGTTTAAGATATATTAAGATTAACCCAAGTCTTATAGGTTTGGAGTGACATGAGGGTGAGTAAATGATGACAGAATTTTGAGTTTTTGGTAAAGTACCTCCTAAAATCACACAGAAATTGTTGACTAATACTAATGCTATTGAAGCCACAAACCCAAACCTACACCTAAAATCTGATTGGTTGATAGAAATGTTCCAGAACCAATAGTGATGTCCATAAGGAAGGGAGTTCTCTGCCTTTGGCAAACCCCTCAGTGACACTTTGTCCTGAAGTATCTAAAATATGTGCAAAACTGCAGTGCTTGCGCAGACAGTAGGGCCAGTGTAGTTTTTTAAACCATTCACTCATTCTTTAAGTGCTGTCAGTGTTGTAGGGTAACTCTAATTGGTTTTGGATAACCATCCTCATCATTTTATAGTCGGCAAACTCTACAGGATAACAATAAAACTGAAAAATAAAAAATAAAGTGTCTCCACTGTCCAGGGCCTAATGTATACATACACACACTCACACATACACCCCGGTCGGACTGCAGAAATAATGATTATGCACGTGTGTTGTGCATCGGTTGTCTGTTTTCAGCTCTGGCTTTTAAAAATAATTGCTATTGGTGCTGCAGCCGTATCAGAGGAAGGCCAGTAATGATTCTCGCCAGTCGTGTGGAACGCGGCATGTGGGGAAGCGGGGGGAGACAGACGCGAGAATAAAGGCGGCTATCATTTCTGTGTGTGTGTGTTTGTCTGCCTGGCACATAATTATGGTTGCATAAGGTTGTGTATTCATATGGTGTGTGTGTGTGTGTGTGTGTGTGTGTGTGCGAGGTGCTATGATTACATCGAGCGTGTGTGCAAATATACTCCAGCCCCCGTCTATAAATCAGGTGTGAATTGAAGAAACTGATGAGTCGAGAATCTCATTTGAGTGTGTGTGTGGGATCACAGAGGGATTAGAGTTGGATATAAAGCTGCACAGGTGTCTGAGACTGCCTCATAACCCGCTCACACACACACACACACACACACACACACACACGCACGCTGCATTTTAATTGTCTTTCTCCTGTTCTTCACCACTTTTATTGGCTCTCCTCTACAGTGTTCGCTCTGGGTAAAGGTCACTGTGCTCCACCATCTTACTCACAGCGTTACTAGCCATGAAACTAGTCTGCCTTTTAATTTAAGCTGAATTCTCCTATGCTGAAAACCTGAAATCTCATATGAGCCCAAATTGCGTCATAAAATCATAAGAGTATAATAGTGATTTGTTCAGGGATAGAGATTTTAATGCAGGTAAAGATTAAGTCAGCACTTGTATTTTGCGTCCTTTGCAGAGGAATATTGTTAGCATATTATATATATATATATATACTGTATATAGAATTTTATCTCAGCTTGTAACATTTCTCATTTCCATTTAGTTTACTTTAAGATTTAATTTAGCTTAAAGGGGTAGTTCACCCAAAAATGAGAATGCTGTCATTAATTACTCACCCTCATGTCATTCCAAACTCATAAGAAACTTCGCTCATCTTCGAACAGAAAATAAGATATTTTTGATGTAATCCGAGAGCTTTGACCCTTTCTGAATGTTCATTTTTGGTTGAACTATCCCAGAACTATACCAAAACTAAATATACTAAAAACTAAAACATGATAAATAACTATATAGACATACTTTTAAAAACGAAACTCATTAAAATGACAAAAACACAACAAAATTACTAATATGTTTACTAAAATTAAAATGAAAATGGAAAATATCAAATTTCTCATTCGAAATATTAACAAAAACTATAATAGTATATCAGTAATACTTAACACTGATACACACAAAAGTTTGGGGTCAGTAGGATATTTACATTCGAAAATACAAAAAAAAAATCATTAAAATTGAAAATATCTGTTTATTTGAATATATTTTCAAATGTAATTTTAATAATACCTGTGATGTCAAAGCTGAATTTTCAACATCATTACTCCAGTCTTCAGTGTCACATGGTCCTTCAGAAATCATTCTAATTACTGATTTGCTGCTCAAGAAACATTTTATTATCATACTGAAAATGGTTGTGCTGCTTAATATTTTTGTGGAAAACATAATACATATATTTAGGATTCTTTGATTTTTTTTTTATTACATACATTATAAATGTCTTTACTGTCACATTTTACCAATTTAATTTATCAATGCTTAATAGTTTCTTCAGACAAACCAGTCAATTCAAAGGTAAAAAGCTTATTACAGGCAGTCTTGCCCCAAAATCAGGTCAACTAACTAGGAAGTGACCATAGTAAAAGCTATTGTGTAGTTATAGTATATCTGCACATTAGGCATTATTTGAGATTTTAACATCAAAATTACACACTTGGCCTTTAATTAGGACTGATTTCTGTCTCTTCAGGCCCGGGCGTGTGAGGGCCGACTGGCGGAGCTGCACACCCAGCTGACATGCTCACAGCAGCAGATGACGGCCCTGCAGGCCAGAGACGAGGAAGTGCTCATGCTGAAGATGGAGATGGCCTCTCTCAGAGACAACTACACTGCTCAAGTAGCTCAGGTCAGCCACAGTATCCCAACCTCATTTCTATTATTCTGCTGTGTTTCTGTGTTCATTTGTGTCTTCCTGTGCAGGTTGAGGCTTTGCTCTCACAGATGGACGCTGTCAATCAGAAGTACAGCGCAGCTGTGTGTGAGGCCGATGTTCTGCGGCAGTGTTTAGGAGACGCACGGAGTGACAGCTCTCGACTTCACAGGGAAAGCGAGCTAGTCGTGACCAATGTGAACCAGTGGGTGAAGGAGCAAAAGTAAGAATCTTGTCTTCTGCATTCAACCAAAATTATCTTTTTGAGAAGTAATCATTCAGTAGCATGAAATTACATTCAGTACCATGAAATTACAGTGCCACAGTACTTTTTTGTAAGTGTAAAAAGCTTAAAACACTGCTGTTGGAATACTTGATTCTGGTTGGTCGATTACTGCATTCTGCAGACAAATGTTTTTTGTATAATGACAACTACATTGTATAATTGATCATGACAGGCAATACCGTTATTCTTAAAACTAAAACTATTAAAAATCATTTTTTTGGCAATTGAAATAAATCTTAAATAAAATATGTTATAATGGTTAAATATTACATATGCATAATTGTTAAATATTAAATATGTTAAATATTAGATAAAAAAATTATTTAAATAAAAAAAAATATATATATATATGAAAATTAGTAATGTTGCCTTGGCAACTAACGGAAATAAATGTTTATGTTGATGTACTAAAATTACTAAAACTGAAAATAAAAATAAAGCTTGATAGAAATATTCACAAAATTGCATAAAATGATTAAAACGTCACTATAATTAAAATGAAAATTAAACATATAAAGTATAAAATAAACCTGAATTCAAAATATTAATAAACTCTATAATAGTATATAAATAATACTAAAATAACACTGGTCCCAGGCAACTGATTTCTTCTATATACTGACAAATATTATTTACTTTGAATATTTTTGTTTAGAAATTGCTAGTAAATTTCACAAAAAAAAAAAAGCAAAGAAATGGCAAGTAACACGTTGAAATAAATTGAAAGTAGAAAGAATTTAGTATTTTTGTTTGTTTGTTTGTTTGTTTGTTTTGTAAAGCATACTCCAAAAATTGTTCAACAAATTTTTTTTATAGTGTAGCTTTGCTAGTTTAATGTGTTTTGTATCACTCCATCTCTTCTATCATAACAAAATAAAAATGTCAACTCAAATCAATACTTCATGTCTATTTATGTGTTTATATTTTGTATTTTATAAGTAACTATGTAATTAACAGTCGGTCATCATTGCCAAATAAACACCTTCATACACTTTAAAAAAATTATTTTGAAATATTGAATACATTTGAATAAATTAAATATTATAGGGAGTACCTATATTTTGTAATTTTTTTGTAATTTGTTATGAGATTTACAAGTAATTTATGAGTGAAAACATTTTTTTTTTTTTTTTGCAATAATGACCGTCTGGCTGAGTGTTTTCCCTTACGTAACATAAAATGTGAGTTTTTACTGCATTATATGTCACAGATCGTATCCCATGTTGCACTGCATAGTTCCTGCTGGAACCAGTATATAGATTTACAAAGTCTAATGGTGCATCAGAACTTTTGCATCCACAGAGAGGCAGTGTTATAATGGCTGTATCATTATCATTCAGCATCATGGTTCATTGTGACAGCAGCTCGCAGCTTCCTCACTGCAGCCCATTATCTCTGCCCCTGCTCCACTCCAGGCACACTAATGAGAAACTGGCACTCAAGATCAAAGACCAGAGCAGGAAGATCATCCACCTGACAGCTGAGAGAGAGTAAGCCCCGCTCACCCTGTCCAAAGCTGTTTCCGCTCCTCTCAGCTGGAGTGTGTACAAACATGGATTTTAGGTCCAAGTAGCAGGGAATGTGCATGCAAAGATACGGTGAGAGGGTACACTTATGTGAAATGGGATTAGGCTGTAATGTTTGTCCTGTCTTCATGCAGTCACCTTCAGGAGAATGTGAAGGGTTTACAGGGGGAAATCAGGAGGCTGAAAGCAGAGCTGGATAGAGAGAGAATGGAAGCAGAGCGACTGAAGGTAACACACACTCCAGCGCAAAGCCTCTAACACACTCCAGATGGTTTTATCAGTATCAATTTTTAAGTTGAAGTCAACATGAAACCAAAGTCTTACTACCGTATTGTGACATATTTCAGAGTGAAACGGCTATTGAGTAAGAAAAAAATGTTGGGCGGCACTTAATCAGTTACTGACTGGACTGTGAAAGCTGGTCATTGCATACAGAAATGGAGGCAGATCTGAATGCGACTGGCTTAACTGCAGACTTGCATAGACACTGAGTTAGTCACATCACGGGAAGAGCAAGTTACAACATTATGATTAAAGATTTTAAAAAGTACCAATCAACAATCAACCAATCAATAATACACTACCATTCAAAAGTTTGGAGGCAGTACAATTGATTTATTTAGTTTAAATTTTTATTCAATTATATGTTTTTAAGAAATTAGGGGCACATTAAACAATGATCAAAAGCGACAGTTGTTAATGTTCCAAAAGGTTTCCAAATAAATGCTGTTCTTTTAATTCATCAAAGAATCCTAAAAAGAATGTGACACTGAAGACTGGAGTGATGAGGCTGAAAATTCAGCTCGGACATCACAGAAATAAATGACGTTTTAAAATATATTAAAAAGAAAATTGTTATTTTAAATTGTAATAATTTTTCACAGTATTACTATTTCAGTTTTTTTATCAAATGAATGCAGCCTTGAAGAGCACAAGAGACTTTAAAAGCATTCAAAAATATTACCCTAAATATATATAAAATAAATTCTCAGCTCAATTTGCTCGCAATAAGTACAGTTAAGTTAAGAAAATACATTTTGATTTCATGTTGGCTTTAAATTTTATATATATATATATATATATATATATACATATATATACATATATATATATATATATATATGTGTGTATATATGTATATATATATATATGTATATATGTATATATATATATATTAGATTTTAGATTGCCTTTGATCCTGTAATTGGTCACCATTTTAGTCACATTTTTTGCATTTTAATTTTACATGGTCCTGCTGTGTGTTTTGTCTGACGAATATGAAAGTACAAATAATCCATGTAGCCCTCCAGTGATCTGCATGCATAATAGTTATACTTATAACAAAATACTGTTCCAAATCCTTGCCGATTGAGAGAATGATCAATTCTACCCTGTAGAATGTGTATTTCTCTTTATTTGTGTATTCTTGGTAATATATTTTGATAAGATTCTTATCTTATTTGTAACAATCAACTAAACTCAACTCACAAGTTACAATCGTCATTGAGTGAATATTAACATTCACCTCTGTGGCAAACAGGCCATACCTCTAATCTTCCGTATAAACCGGTATTATATGCAGGTTTTGCCTCAAATCACCTGTCCAGTTTGATTTTTCTTCTTCTCCTCTTATAATTCCTGAATGACCCGTGTTGGCCATTTCCTATTACACCTCTCCCTGTCTTATTATTCTTTCTCTCTTCCTCTATTCTCTGTTATCCCGTACTCATGCATAACATCAGCGAGACCTTCTTTGTTGTGATTAGGTTGGTATTTCTATCAGATGCAGAGAAAAGGTGTCCTATAACCGTGTCACCATTAGCCATCTCATTCTGGAGCGCATGTCCTCTCGCTTGGAATGATCCCGCTCTGTAGGTACAGGCTTATCCTCTGTAATGTGGTCTGATCTGATTCACACTTGTGAAATTGGAAAGGAGAAGTCTAGAGATGATTGGAGAACTTTTGGCATAGTAGCGGCCGAGGGCTGGAGCTGCCGGTCTGAACCCAATCATTGGGGCGTTGTTGACCATGCTGATGAGCCCGTCCTGCAGGGGTGAACCCATTCTCCTCCCTGTTTGTTCTCAAGGTCCAGGACCTGCTCCACATGCCACCTTATTCCATTTTTGATGAAGGAGCAGCAGAGTCAGAGATCTGCTCAGGCCTGACTTTACAGAGTTAGTACTTCAGAAGTTTTATTCTCATCAAAAAAAAGTCAAAGAGCCAGTGAAGCGTCTGGTATTGTTACCACAGAAAGTCTTGACTAATTTTTGAAGAAACGGTTCACCCAAAATTAAAAAATTCTGTCATCATTTAGTTTACCAAACCTCTATGAGTTTATTTCTTTCTTGGAACACAAACAGTGAATTTTTATGATTTATTGCTGTATGTCTTTGCTGTAGCTCTCACCAAATATGGTGCCGTTAAATGTTCTTTGTCAGGTTTGATGTCTGTGACATTTGGTCATGAGAGAACCCAGCTGCATTTTGGATCAGTAGTTTGAAATGGCACCAAGTACATACAACTTGTGTAGTCCATTGGACATCTTTGGTGGACATGGACATGATGATGGTCAAAGAAATGGCTTAAATTTCGGACTGTTCCTCAAAGTTATAATGGCTACTGAAGACTTGGAATGTATTATCATACAGTATGTTTTAACAAAGGTGCTTTACTGCTAATATTAATATTTGAAAAACGTTCGTCACCTATTCAAAAACATGTGGCCCAACTAACATGCAAATATATATTCCACACACCACATGACATTAATACAGAGAATATTTTGTTTTCATTTTAATTTTAGTTTGAGTAATTTTGTTTTGTGCTTTCTTCATTTTTAGTAGTTGGTTTTTATATTTCTATTTAGCTTTTTTAAAGTATTCTTAGTACTTCAACTTCTTTTATATCAGGTCATTTTTATCCAATATATTAATATTTTCTTTTATTTCAGCATTATTACAATTAACAAAAATGCGTTGCTTAACTTTATACATCTCTGATTTCTAAGAGCTTGGCATATGTGTTTGAAACCAGATTGTTAAGAGTTTCTTTCTTTTTTTCATTGTGAACACTCTCATACATCGACTCATGAACCACTTTTAATGGTTTTATTATGGTGTTTGTTTGACATATTCATTCCCTTTGATTATATTGAAAGAAGGGGCCTGAATTTTCTTTAAAAAATAAAAAAAAACACGTTTTGTGTTTCACGGTGTTAATTTTGACAGCAAATTTTGATTTACTTTTAGTCATAGTCTTTTGACTAAAATGGCATTTAGTTTTAGTCATATTTTAGTCATCTGAATTGTTTTTAGTTATAGTCAACTAAATATCATAAGATTTTAGTCGACTAAATCTGCAGTAAATTTAGTCAGCTAAAATCTAATGGGTTTAGTTACAGTGCATTAATTAAACATTTCTCTAAAGTTTCCAAACTCATTATATAGGTTTGATATTAAGGTTTTATCATGATAGACACCGGTTTAACTGCGGTGACACACAACATGCCTTTATGTTAAAATTAAATAAAACCACTTCTCATAAAGAACAAGAACATGGTCTTCTTTTTAATGAAGCACCAATGGTTATATAAGCTAATTCTGCATTCGTTATAGCAACTTGTTTACCATATTCTTAATTCTTTCAAGCAGACATATTTATTTTCTCGTTTTTATTCGTTGACGAAAATGTCAATAGATTTACGTCATAGTTTTTGTCATTCAAAAAGAGTTTTAGTTCGTTATCCTCTTGTTGTCGTCGGTGAAAAAAGTGTCGTTGACGAAAATTATTTGTCAACGAAATTAACACTGGTGTTTCACTGAAAAAAAGTTGTACAGGTCAGTAAAAACGTGAGGGTAAGCAAATAAAGATGATTAATAATAATAATAATAATAATAATAATAATAATTATCATTTTTGGGTGAACTATTTCTTTAAGTGCGCGTGTAAATTTTTGTTGGTAGATGTGAAACCAGTAGAAAGGACAAACAACATCCACACTGCCCATTTGCTGAGTACTGATACCAAAGTAAAGCTCAGCTAATGTTCTTCTAGGACACCCCAAGTACCTTCAGGACAGAGTAAATACAAATAAATAGATAGGAGAGGAAATGGCTTGTAGGCTTGTGGTTTATTTATGACAGGCAGGGCTTCTTCTGCATGCATGAATTCACAGCTTTCATTAAGTGTCATTACTAGACAAATCTGCTGAGACCTGACATACAGCCCGATTCGAGGCAGCATGTATATGGATGGACTCTTCCAAGAAGAAGGGGCTTGATCCTTTGGATGAGTAGATTCAGCTGTTAGTAAATACAGAACAGTATGACCGCTTGATTTGTTGTGATAAATAACTTATAATAGCCTCAGTCGTTCCATCAGAAAGCGATGGTCGTGTTTATACCACTGCGGAGGAGGGCATATATGGTTGCATTTAATGGTCACGCTTTTAAAGTTTTTTTTGTTTGTTTTTTTTAACTAATGTATAGATTTTAGAAGAGAAATAAAACAGGGATGCTTTCCCCCCAAACCTTGCTATTCATTAGCAATTTCCACTTTCCAGTTGACTTCTTGCGACGTCCCCTGATTGATGGAAAGCCTGCCATATTTATTTGGATATCAGGGAATGAAATATTCATATTGTACGCTTTTCCAAGCAGAAGTTATCTGGGTGCAGCGTAAATGGTACTTGGGATTAGATTTTCACAGCAGATTGCAGTTATTAAAGAGAAAAAAAGGAGGGGGTTACAGGGAAGCTGCCATCTTCTGGGGAGGCAATCTATTTCTTTTCACGCAGACTTGGAGCGGCTGCATAGCCTCTTAATGCACTGGAGCAAAAGTGCTTTGGTCCGCAACCTTTCACGCCTTCCTCTCCCTTTTATATGATTGAATACTTAATAACTTTGACTTTGCTTTGAAAGTCTGCGCCATGGGGCCTGTTCGGTTGGCTCGTGGTGAGGCTGGCGTACCTGAGTGTTTGTCTGCTACTAACTGCCCTTATTACCGGCTGTCTGTCAGCCTCTTGCCCACAGCTCATCCGGCGTCATGTGCATCTTCTGTACGTCATCTCGCACTCTTTATCTTAATATCAGTCTGACTTTTAGGCTGTTTTCACACTTATGATGTGTTGTTTGTCTCTTATGATTAAAAGCCTATGTAGACTGTGCGACATTGTTTTTTTATGTCAGGCTGTGTAATAGTTTGGTCATAACTGACAGCGTTTACTGGGGATCAGTCGCCTCATATGCTCATTGACATGCAAAAATAAAAATGGTACTTTGCATGCTAGAAATGAAAAAAAGCTAAATTTGACGATACGTTTGCATGACAACAATTGTACTAAAAACGAAAAAGTTTTTCTTTTGCGTTTTTGAAAAGTTTCACATACAGATGACAGCATTGTCTAAAATGATTCCTGTTCACACAGATCCACAAACTGAACTACTGGATACACAACAACAACAGTCTCACATTGACAAGTGTTTGTGTGAAGGTACTTGCAGCTCTGGTTTAAAAGAGTAAAAGGCATTTTTGTAACTCATAACTTCTGGAGAGAAGTAGTGCAGACACTGGACAAACTTTTCAGTTTCCATGTGTTGTCCGATGGTCATCGCACATGCTATTATATGGAGAGTACTTTAAAAAGGCTGTGTGTTCAGCTGTGTTTGTATACGCTAAGTGCTTGTGTCAAAACTGAAGTGGTCAAAAGCTGCCCTACAATGAAAGAAATATTTTACCAGTTTGTCTCAATTGCAACAAATGTGGCCACTTTACACAAAGCTTTTGTTCAAAATCTTTGTCCAAACCTGACATCACCACTAGTCTTTTTTCACATTGTACCTTTGATTCCAAACTCCAGTGTGTTATTTAGGTATGCACTCTATTATTTAGTTTTGTAATACATTTCCTAAATGCATGTCTATCTTTTGTATTTACTTATATAATATCAACATGAATTGATGGGTTTTAGGATGGATATACATGTACATGACACATATGTCCAAAAATGTATTACACGTACATAAATGCACATACAGTAGATATTTGTTTATATATAATATTGTTCCAATTTCTAATATGTGGTGAATGCTGTGGTGTGAAACTGTCCTTAATGAAGCCCTATCTATTCCACCATAAGTACTGTGGTTGAAGGCTTTTTATTCATGTCGTCTGACTCTTTGCGCATGCTGAAAGGCTGTGAGGTCAGCTGTATGTATACGATGAACATTCGTGTCAAATCTGAAACATATTTTAGGCCTTTGATTCCAAACCCCAGTATGCTGCCGTCATCAACCGTAACTTTTCTACCATTTTTATTCACATTTTTGTCACTTTGAATTCAGCACCAAATCTTTCAACACATGAAACAGCACTTGCATTAGTAGTTCACTTCCGTTACTTGCGTACGGATTATGTTCCTACTAGTGCTGTCAAACGATTAATCGCGATTAATCGCATCCAAAATAAAAGTTTTCGTTTACATAATATATGTGTGTGTGTACTGTGTAAATGTATTATTTTTATACAGTATAAATACACACATGCATGTATACATTTCAGAAAAATGTGTTATGTTCATATATTATATATATATTTATATATAATATAAATTATATGAATTATATGAATATGTAAATACATGTAAATATTTTCAAAATATATGCTGTATGTGTGTGTATTTATATACACATAATAAATATACACAGTACACACACATATATTATGTAAACCAAAACGTTTATTTTTGGATGCGATTAATCGTTTGACAGCGCTAGTTCCTACCCACTGTGAACCACACCTGAGTTCAAATAAATTGCACCCCAGACCATCTTTTGAAGAGAACTCGGTTGCTGTTTATAAGAAAATGAACCGAACTCTGACGTCAAATGGCACCAAAAGCTGTGGTGTGAAATGAAGCGCTGTCTATTCCACCGTAAATGCTGTGGTTGTAGGCTCTTTATTCAGGCGCCGACTGTCTCTCTCTCTCCATTTCTCTCGCAGCCCTCGCCGAATGTGACCCTGCCTAATTGTGCAGCAGGTTCATTTGCTCGCCCTGCATGATGTAGTGATTGCTTATTTGTTCTCCTCAGGGCTTCTCTCGCACATTAAAATGGTTGACTCATTTCATTCAGGCTACATTTACAGAGCTTTATTTGATAAGCTCATGCCCAAGGTACCCACATCCATCTTATTCTCATGCTCAAAAATTATAATGTCTACCACTGCGGATTATTATTCATGCAACTGATTGTTTCCCCGGTTAATTATCTGTGTTTGAATAATTTTGCATGCACAAGCCTGTTTATCCTTCCGGAATTAAGCAGCGCAAAAGGTCTCGCATTAGCCATGCCGCTGAAGTCAACGACGAGCCCATTGTATATTCTAAGCTGTCTGAGGCAGACAGTGAAGAGTTCGGGGAATACGAGGAACGGTGATTTTCTCCTTAAATAAAGGGTGAAATTTGCATGCAGCCACAGAGACACGGTGCGTAAAAAGAGATACATATTTGGCTAATAAGCTGGATTTGTTTTCCACAGAGAGCATAAGGCTCGACTTAAAACCTTGATGAACTGTTCAAGAATGAGAGTGCTCATTATATTATATGTATATTCGTCGGTAGCCTTTGACCTTTCATCTTCCACGCAACAGTGGTCAGACCTTCAGTGCTCTCAGAAATCAAAAGCAGAGGTAGGAAGAAGCCAAAGCCGGTCAAGAAAGAGAAAGAGAGAGATGCAGTTAGAATAGAGTATTTATTAGGGGTGCACCGATCAGGGTTTTTGAGGCCGATCACCGATCACAGAAAGCAGTATCTGCCGATCCGATCACCGAAACCAATCTTTTTAAAGCCTTCTTTTAATAATTTATAACCATTTATAGTGATACTCCAATCAGGATTTTTAGACATTTATTCAGGGCCTGAATTTCATTTTTGAAAATGGGGGGAATTCCCCTCTTAGGTGACTCTTGTGAGAGGAGAAGCAGCTTTCACAGAAGAGTCCGCTGCTGATCCGTGGCTGTTTACCACAAACACAACATTTACCACCTCACAGACGTGAGTACCTCACCTTCAGCATTATAATTATTTCACCAGCGCCAGACAGAGACTGAGATGGTGCCGCTGCATGTCGTGCCAAACCTTTCATGGCAGCATCATCAGCTTGAGATCGTTTTTTTGAGATCTGCCTTTTTAGAGACCGCCGATCAATCATCCCAATGTGATTATCGGCCGATAGTGATCGTAGCCGATCAATCGGAGCACCCCTAGTATTTATCTGCCAATGTCATGCGCGAGAGTGCAATTATGATGGACATGTCTGGAAATAATGGTTGTTTAGTTAATTGGAGGAGCCCATTGAAGCAGTAATGACCTTGTTTATGAGGTGGCTGTAAATAAAATTGCATGTTGTTTGTTCTTACAGTGAAGAATGTGGCAGAGGAAGAAGAAAGCACTTCCTGACCACCAGCAGCGCAAGTCTGTGCCGGTCAGTGCCTGATCTACGTGGATGGCTATAGAACTGTTTTCTGCAAACAAACTCACTCTTGGATCCTTTCTTCATCACTGACTCGATGAGTTCTAGAAAAATACGATTATCAAATGATGACTGATAATGACCTTATGACATATAAATGTCCAAAATAGCCAATCAAATCAATTTGCCGACTTCTGTCCGTCAAACTCACTCAATTGTCTGTCTATCTGTCTCCTATTTAGCAAATTCCCAGCATTATGGTAAAAGGGTCTTGTTATGGTCCATGTACTTCAGATACGAGGTATGCTGAGAGGCTAGTGAATGGAGTTTTGTTTGTTACATTCCTGAAACCAGTCATTAGTCTCGAAAAAAGACTAAACTTCTGAATGATCATCCAAAAGCAAAACATCTCTATGTTTGCACAAAGGAAAGGAATAGTAGAATAGTGTGATAAATGTTTACAAAAAGGAGAATCATTATGTTCCTGGTTTGTTTGTTGAAGTTGTAAAAAATACTGGTTTACTTTGGATGTTTGTACTTGTAGTAAACGTGTTGTAGAATGTGCATGCAAAATTTATATTATGATTCTGATGTTTGACCCACAAATTTCATGGTTAAAGGCAGGTGCACAGACCCAAAATAGTTCATGCATATGATTTTTTGATTGTTTTGTTGTTAATGCCATGCCCTACTGTTTGAGCTTCAGAAAAGCACACGCACACAAAATCAAACTTTAAAATTTAAATAATAGCTGTTTATAATGTTCACATTTTGTGAAAAACAGATGTTTTTAAAATAGTTGTTAAAAACAGTTTTAAAAATCATATGATCTCCAGTTTACTTTTTTTGTAATGTGTAAAAAATAATAATGTTAAAGGTTTACTGTTTTTCCCTTATTTTTTT